ACCAAGTGTGGCCTATTTATTGAGATGGAGACTTATTTATTGAGATGGAGTCTCACTCTGTCGCCCAGGCTGGATTGTAGTGGCACAATCTCAGCTTACTGCAACCTCCGCCTCCCGGGTTCAAGTGATTCTCCTGACTCAGCCTCCCGAGTAGCTGGAACTACAGGCATTCACCACCACACTTGGCTAATTTTTGTATTTTTAGTAGAGATGCTGCTTCACCATATTGGCCAGGCTGGTCTCGAACTCCTGATCTTGTGATCCACCTGCCTTGGCCTCCCCAAGTGCTGGGATTACAGGTGTGAGCCAGTGAGCCCGGCCTCCTCCTTTTTATTTCTATGATTCTTTCTGTGTGATTTTTTTGAAGACTTACCTTCTAGTTTACTATTTCTCTCTCCAACTGTAGCTAAATGTGTTTCTTGACTATTATGAATGTTGCCATGAACGTTAATGGACAAGTTTTTGTGTAGATGTATATTTCACGTCTTGGGATTATACCTAGGAGTAGAATTGCTGGGTCATAGGAGAAGGCCTCCATGTTTAGCCATGAATGAACTGTCAAACTGTTTTCCAAAGAAACTGCACCATTGTATGGTACAATCCCACCAGCAAGGTACGAGGGTAGAATCCCTGATTTTTAACTGATCATTGAGCTCAGGGCCATTCAAAACAAAGATGATACTTCCTAACCTTCCTTACAAGTAGTTCTGACCAGTGGGATGGGAGAAGTTAGATTTTGTCCTTAAAAGAAATGAGAGTACACTCTCTTCCACCCTTCCCCCTTTCCAGTGGCTGGATGTAGACATGGTGGTCAGCTATCTTAGATCATTCAGACAAGGGAAACACACGTGCGTATGAGAGCCTCCAGACAGAATGAACTTAGGACCCTGGACGGCTTTGCAGAGCAGTGCTCCCATACCACCGTGAAGTTTTGTATGGAAAAAATATATAAATTTCTAACTTCTGTAAGCCACTGTTATTTTGGGTCTCTCTCAGCGCAGCCAAATTTGTAATGTAACTAATATATTCTCTTTCTGTGATTCTTCTCTATTTTGACTATACTTCTGCTTCTCTGCCCCTCTTTTAAGTGGGAGGTGCTGCTCCAAGCACTAACTCAGAATATAGACCCCCTTCCTCTTGCAATGGTGCCATCTTGTAATTCTTAGCTTCCACTGTATGGGAAGGAAGAAAAAAGTATGGAGAACTCACATCCTTTCTTCACTGTCCTCAGACAGAAGTGACCCATTTTTTTTCTGCTCACAGCCTATTGGGCAGAACTAACTGTATGGCCCCAATCTAATTGCAAAGGGGTCTGGGAAGTACAGCACAGCATGTGGATCTTTGGAGAGCATTATTTTCCTCTGCCAAAGACTTCTTTTTCTTTTCGTATTTTTTTTTTTTTTTTGAAATGGAGTCTTACTCTGTCACCCAGGCTGGAGTGCAGTGGCCCAATCTCAGCTCACTGCAACCTCCGCCTTCCAGGTTCAAGCACCCCTCCTGCCTGGGCCTCCTGAGTAGCTAGGATTGCAGGCATGCGCCGTCATACCTGGCTAATTTTTTTGTGTTTTTAGTAGAGACAGAATTTTACCATGTTGGCCAGGCTGGTCTTAAACTCCTGGCTTCGAGTGATCCACCTGCCTCAGCCTCCCAGAGTGTTGGAATAACAGGGATGAGCCACCACGTCCGGCCAATACTGCTGTCTTCTAACCTCAGCGCTTTTCTTTTCTCCTGGTATGCACGCTCCCTAGAGATTTCATCTACTCCCAAGTCTTTCACTGCCCCCTCTTCTGATGACTCCTAAATCTCAGTCTCCACCCAAGACTTCTCTCCTGGGCTTGAGACATCTGTATCCAACTGCCAGAACATCTCCAGTGGAGAGCCTTTGGATGCAAGGCAACACTAGTCTGTGGGTACGAGGAGTCACCTAATGGCTTTCCACCCCCCATATTTTTCCATCCCATGGAAATGCACTTTTCCCAAATACTCTGAGTCTCTCTTCTCCTTTGAAGACTGTAGTTTAGTGACTAGATGGTAGTTCCTGTTGCTTTTTTCCTTTCAAGTAAATCTTCTCTTCGGAGGCTTCTTGGCCACTATCAAACAGACCTCAACTGGGCTTGCCCTATGCCTATCTGAAACCCAGTCTAGGCTCAAGTCAGGACTCCTGTGAATCTGTGCTCTCACTTCCTGTCCCAGCCTGCTTTTCCTCAGGAGGCTCCTGTTGGTGAAAGACACAATCATCCCCCTAGTCGCTCAGAAACCTGGGACTCACTGGGATTTTTTCCTCTCCTTCACCTCTGTCACCTAATCAGTCACCAGGTGCTATCAACTCTGCTGCCTTAGTATCTCTCAACATCTACTTACCTATCAAATATCACTGCCATGTTGTACTCCAGGCCTTCATTTCTCACCTGGATTACTGAAATAGCCCTAAATAGTTTCTCTGCCTTCTGTCTGGCCACTCTCCTGAGCGATCTCTCCATCACGTACCTTTCAGTGACTGCTTGCACAAGGCCCCTTGTAACCTGGTCAGTCTGGTCTCTCAAACCACTAGAACCAAGCACCTGATTCTGAACGCAACTCTTACTATGTGATGGTGGACAAGCCATTTGATCTCCTCAAACCTCAGTTCCTAAATCAAATGAATGATTGAATTCAGTCACTCAACTTTGTATGGATTAGGCACCGGGCAAAACCTACTAGTGGATATAGGGATGAATTAGAAAAAGCTGCTGCATTCAAAGAGCTCTCGGACTCATCAACAAATTATTGTATGGTGAGATAATAAGTGCTATAATCCGGGAATATACAGTGTTGTGTGAATAATGTGGAATCAGTTTACCTCCAGAGCAGAAAAATGGGAAGGCAGAAGAGGGCATTCAAAGTGATACCAGAGCTGTGCAGCAGGGGATACTATTGTCCCCTCAAATCCTTTCTTCTTTTCTTCCCAAGTAATAGAGTCCTTTTTCAGCTGGGCATACAGCCATCCAAAATAAAAACTCTATTTCCCATCTTCCCTTTCAGCTAAGTGTAACCATGTGACTAAGTTGTGGCCAATGGGATGTCAGTATGAGTGGTAAGAACAGTATCTGGTATGTGTCTTTAAAGGGAGGGAATGTGTCCTTCTCCTTTTCCTCCTCCCTGTTCCCTCCAGACTTGGTGGCTGGAGGTGAAGCAGCTGGAACTTGGACATGAGTTGACAAGTGTATACACATATACACACACACATATATACACATATATATTTATGCAAGAGAATAAAAAAATATATATATATACTCACACACATATGTATTTCCTTTGCAGCTAAGTCTAATTCTAACTAATGCAAACTAAGTCTAAAAAATGGCTATATACTCACCAGGAGATAGGCTATTTCAAGCAAAGGGAATAGCTGTATAATGACTCAGGGAATGCTGTGGTTTTATGTGGCAGGAGATGAGACTGGAAATGAGTTGGGATGAGCCACAATGGAGGATGAATTCAACGGGCAGGAGTGTGGCAGAAAGACCTGTCAGAAGCTATGAGTGCAATCAAGGTGACAGACAATGGTGCAATGACAGTACTGGAAATGGAGGAGAGGGGATTGATTCAGGATGCACTTAGGACCAAGAATCGGGAGTTGTGCACGTGTGTGTATGAGTACAGTAGATGGAGCGGGTGTGTCATCAGAGAAGATCTGAGCATTTGGGCTTGCTCTCCTCAGACGCCCTGTGAGTGGAGTTCAGCCTTTCCCCATGGGGCATATCCTCCACTTGCTCCAGTTCCTGGGGCTCATGGTCCTTGGCCCAGGTGCCTCTTGCCATCTCATCTTCACCCTGCCTAGCTTCCCTTGCTTGTTCCAGGATTATTTCACAAAGGGGACATGGGAGGTTCTTTAACTCTGTGAATACTGACTCTCCCCAGGCTGCCTGAGGACATGAGTTGTGGAGCTGTCAGGGGCTGCTCAGGCTCTGGCTGGCAGCTGGACACTGTCTCTGTCTTGCTGGCAGGGACACAGTGCCTCTGAGTAGTTGTGTAAGAAGGGGACCTTGGCAGATAAACAGGCCCTTCTCTATTGGTGGGCCAGCCAGCAGGTCAGTGGGAAGGTTAAAGGTCACAAGGTTTGGGGAAACTGGGTGAGGAGTTCAACCCCATTCCCAGTAAAGCTTCTGGAAAACACTTCTCTACTGGGGCAGCCCCTGACACCAGGGCACTCATTAACCCTCTGGGTGCCAGAGAAAGGGCAGGAGGTAAGTGCTGGGAGGCAGCTGAGGTCAACCTCTTTTGAACCTCCACGTGGTATTTACTCAGAGCAATTGGTGCCAGGGGCTCAGGGTCCTGGAGTATAAAGCAGAATGTTTGCTCTCTGTGCCCAGATGTGAGCAGGTGAGCAGCTGGGGCAGAGGGATGGGGGTCGCAGCCCTAAGGGAGGGCATGGCAGGTGGTCTCAGTGGAGAGCCTGGGGTGGCCCCTAAGACATCCTCTTGGAGCACTTTGGCAGAGTTGCTTCTTTGCCCTCATTATGCCTCAGTTTTTCCCACCATGAAATGGGAGGGAGGGGGACAGGTGGGCAGGGAGAGGTGGTAGAATGGCCTAGGGAGCTGTTCCTGGGGTCAGGGATCTTTACGAAGGGGCTAGAGCACCATGCAAGGGCACACCCTCTCCCCGTGTCTGAGGAAGACACCCCAGCCTCTTTGACTCAGGCCTCTTGAGCCCCAACAGCTCTGTGCTCCCCACCCCAAGGAAGGGTTAACAGGATTTCGGGCAGTTGTCCCTGGAGATGCCCCTGGGTCATGTCCCTTCCTCTGCTTCTTCCCCTAACCAGTCCTACCTCCACTTGCCTTCTCAGAGCAGATAATGGCAAGCATGGCTGCCATGCTCACCTGGGCTCTGGCTCTCCTCTCAGGTGGGTCTCCGGCCCTGACTTCAACGTGGGGGTGTGGGTAGGGGCTGGCCTGAGGGCCCTGTTCACCCCGGGGGGAGGAGATCCCAGGCCCTGATCACCCAGTGCCTCTCCGCAGTGTTTTCGGCCACCCAGGCACGGAAAGGCTTCTGGGACTACTTCCGCCAGACCAGCGGGGAGAAAGGCAGGATGGAGCAGATCCATCAGCAGAAGATGGCTCGTGAGCCCGCGTGAGTGCCCAGGGGAAGGGGTGTGGGGGAAGGGAGGAGACAGCTGGGCCATGCCATGATGCCCTGCCTCTGTGGCCCCTGTTGGGACAGAGGAAAGGAGCAGTGCTGGGTCTGCCCGCAGATCCCGGCCATCCTGGGCTCTTCAGCGCCCTCTGCCTGCAGCCCCCGCCTTAACAACTCTATAGCTGTCGTCCGTTTGACCACTGAGGCTCGGGACCCGGGATCGACCGGGAGGACCCCTGCTGCGGTCCCCAGAATCAAAGGATGATGTGGCGCATCCATGCTTCTTTGATCAGTGTTGTAGGTCTGGATTTGCATATGCGATGTGTTTATGCTTCGTGTGTGAGTAGTTATGACGGGCCAGGGTTAGGACAAGAGTCCCTGACTCTGGGGCCAACGCCCTGCGTCCTTGGTTCCCCTAGAGGGTCAGTGCGTGACGACTTTGGGACAAGAGAGATGATGGGGGCTAGCAGTCTGACAGCCTGGATATCTGTCCCCTTCCCCAGGAGCCTGAAAGACAGCCTTGAGCAAGACCTTAACAATATGAACAAGTTCCTGGAAAAGCTGGGGCCTCTGAGTGAGAGCGAGGCTTCTCGGCTCCCACGGGACCCGGTGGGCATGCGGCAGCAGCTGCAGGAGGAGTTGGAGGAGGTGAGGGCGCGCCTGCAGCCCTACATGGCAGAGGCGCACGAGCTGGTGGGCTGGAATTTGGAGGGCTTGCGGCAGCAGCTGAAGCCCTACACGATGAATCTGATGGAGCAGGTGGCCCTGCACATGCAGGAGCTGCAGGAGAAGTTGCGCGTGGTGGGAGAAGATACCAAGGCCCAGCTGCTGGGGGGCGTGGGCGAGGCGCGGGCTTTGCTGCAGGAACTGCAGAGCAGCGTGGTGCACCATACCGGCCGTTTCAAAGAGCTCTTCCACCCGTACGCCGAGAGCCTGGTGAGCGGCATCGGGCGCCACGTGCAGGAACTGCACCGCAGTGTGGCTCCGCACGCCCCCGCCAGCCCCGCGCGTCTCAGCCGTTGCGTGCAGGTGCTCTCCCGCAAACTCACACTCAAAGCCAAGGCTCTGCACGCAGGCATCCAACAGAACCTGGACCAGCTGCGCGAAGAGCTTAGCCGCGCCTTTGCAGGCACTGGGGTTGAGCAGGGGGCCGGCCCGGACCCCCAGATGCTCTCCGAGGAGGTGCGCCAGAGACTCCAGGCTTTCCGCCAGGACACCTACCTGCAGATCGCTGCTTTCACTCGTGCCATCGACCAGGAGACTGAGGAAGTCCAGCAGCAGCTGGCACCACCTCCACCAGGCCACAGCGCCTTTGCCCCAGAGTTTGGACAAATGGACAGTGACAAGGCCCTGAGCAAGCTGCAGGCCCGTCTGGATGACCTGTGGGAAGATATCACCTACAGCCTTCATGACCAGGGCCACAGCCATCTGGGGGAGCCCTGAGGGTCTACTTCAGGCCTATTCTCAGCTCCTTGTCTGGGGAGCCCTGACCCTGAGCCTCCAGCATGGTTTAGTCCTTGAAAGTAGCCCATTGGGTAGAGGGTGGAAGGTCCTGTGCAGGACAGGGAGGCCACCAAAGGAGCTGCTGTCTCTTGCATATCCAGCCTCCTGTGACTCCCCCATCTGGATGCATTACACTCACCAGGCTTTGCAAACCCAGCTTTCCAGTGCTCATTTGGGAATTGCAATTCTTCTTTTTTTTTAAGAGACAGGGTCTCACTATGTTGCCCAGGCTGGAGTGCAGTGGCTATTCACAGACGCGATCCCACTACTGATCAGCATGGGAGTTTTGACCTGCTCTGTTTCTGACCTGGGCCGATTCATCCCTCCTTAGGCAACCTGGTGGTCCCCTGCTCCTGGGAGGTCACCATATTGATGCCAAACTTAGTGCAGACACCCGATTGGCATTGGCCCAGAACTCCTGGGCTCAAGCGATCCTCCCACCTCAACCTCCCGAGTAGCTGGGACAACAGGCACGCACAACCATGCCTGGCAAGTTGCTCCTTTCAAGGGTGAGGGAGTCGGGAGGGAGAAAGGCACCATGCATGTGGGTGATTATCTGCAAGCCTGTTCACCATGATGCTGGAAGCCTGTGCTACTACATCCTGGAGTTTGGCTCTGGTCACTTCTGGCTGCCTGGTGGCCACTGCTACAGCTGGTCCACAGAGAGGAGCACTTGTATCCCCAGGGCTGCTGTGGCAGCTTCTGTCAGGGGAATAGAAGGGAGAAAGAGGAAAATACCATGGGAAGAAGTGTGATGGTGTCTGTATACCCCTGCTGGCTCTGATGCTGGTGGGTATGAAAGGGGCGGGGGGCAGGGCTGGGATGGGAAAGGGCAGAGCCCACATTTCCTGACATAGCTCTACACCTAAATAAGGGACTGAACCCTCCAAACTGTGGGAGCTCCTTAAACCCTCTGGGGAGCATACTGTGTGCCCTTCTTATCTCCAGCCCCTCCCTCCAGACTCCCAAGCTGAAGCCTAGACTTCTGGCTCAAATGAAATAGATGTTTACGATAGAAGTTTGCCTGGTGTGACTCTCATCTGGACCATGTCTGAAAGCAGTGGCCTCACCGCTATCCCCAAAGCACACCCATCACCCACTCCATTTCCCTGCTGCTCTCTCTCATCAATCCCTCCCAGTCCAGATCTGCCAAAGGGACTCTGTCTGGGCTCTGCTTCACGGCTCCTGGCTAGACAACAGCTGTCTGTCACACTTGGCGGGAGGCTCTTCCTCTGCACCTGCACTGTTCACCAGCCTGCTCCCCACAGGACAGTGTATATGGAGTGTGGGCTGTGTCTGCAGGAGCTGTGGCCCTGAGAGTCCTGAGGTGGCCTGTCTCCTTTGTTCCTGCTGTCCTAGAGTTTGAATGGCCTCTTTTTATGCCGGACTGTCTTCTTGGGACTCCCAAACTCTGGCAGTCAGGGGCACTAATGCTCCCCATAGCTCCCCTGGGAACTGTGAAACTGGGATGTGGTGGGGGAAGTGGAAAGGGTAAGCCCCTTTCCTTTGAACTGTCCTGTCCAGCTCCCTTTCCTCCTAGCTCAGCCTGCTGCCCCAACCCAATAGCACAGACCCCACACATATGTAGGCTCGTCATGCCCGCAGGCTGGTCTTCCCTGACACCCTGGATTTTGGCAATGTTGGCAACAGAACCAGGTTGTGGCCCCAGCACCTGGAGAGAGGAAGTGCTAGAAAGGTAGAAACAAAAAAAGTGTTTTTGTTGTTGTTGTTGTTAGGAAACTGGAAAAGCATGGGCCAAGGGGTTGGGCTATGGTGGGGATGAGGAGGTGGGAGTGAAAATGAGGACTGTGTACTTGAGGCTGGGATTGGGGAAGGTAGTGATGAGGACAGAACAGGGAGTGGGAGGAACAGAAAGGGACAGAGGGATTGAGGGACTGAGAGAGGTGAAGAAGCTGAACCACCCGGAGGGGGAACCTAGAACGCAAGCAGCATGGGGCCCAACACCGGCTCCGGGCACACCTTCTCAGGCATTCCTCAGGGACATGCCAGGCTCCTTGTCCTCAAGGCTCTTGTAGACCGACGTGGGGACAAATAGAACCCCGTGCGGTGGAGCTATTGTGAAGAAGCAAAAAACTGCCCTGGTTCCGAGAGGCCGTCTTGGGGGAAGTGACGACTGAGTTAAGGTGGATCCGGCTGGCGATGGAAGGTTCGAGCCATATAAACCCGGGAACCAGGAGCCCTTGGCTACACTGTTCCCCGAGGGCCCCGAGTCTGCGGCTTCTTTAAGAAGGGAGGCGGGGGTGGTGGCAGCTGGCGGAAGTGACGAAGAGGGCTGGGGCCGCCAGCAGCGGAAGTCGGAAGCCGGGGTCTCAACTGCGCGTGGTGGCGATGGCAGCTAGCGGGGCTGTGGAACCGGGGCCCCCGGGGGCTGCCGTCGCCCCATCGCCCGTTCTGGTACCGCCGTCCGCCCCGAGTCACCTGTTCCGGCCCATCAGCGCCGAGGACGAGGAGCAGCAGCCCACCGAAATCGAGTCGCTGTGCATGAACTGTTACCGCAATGTGAGGCGGGGGCGCGGCCGCCGTCGGCGGGAGGGTAGGGCTTGGGCCGGGACTAGCAGGGGGTTGGACCCGGCCGGGGACCCCGAGGCGCGCCCGGAGATAGTAGGGCGGGAAATAGGAGTTTCACTGATTCTTTCCTTCGTTGCCTTCTATTTCGCCAGGGCATGACGCGACTCCTGCTCACCAAGATTCCATTCTTCAGAGAAATAATCGTGAGCTCCTTTTCCTGTGAGCACTGTGGCTGGAACAACACGGAGATCCAGTCGGCAGGCAGGATCCAGGACCAGGGAGTGCGCTACACTTTGACAGTCAGGACTCTGGAGGTGAGAGGACCTCAGAGCAGGTGCCTCAGTATTCTAGAGGGCGCTTGGAGACTGGGGTCAGAGCTCGGGTCCAGGCGGTCGGAACTTAAATCCCCCATGTCTCCTAGTCTTAGTTTCTTTTGTAAAATGTTGCTGGTGCTGTCACCAGCTCAAGCGAGATAAGATTTGTGGAAATGCTGTGTAAATGTTGTCTGAGTATATGATGTGAGCAGTAGTTGTTATGAATAGTATTTTCACCATTTGGACAGCCTGGCTCACACCACCTGTACTATTTGAAAGGAGCAGTCTGGACCCTGTGGAGTGGAGAGAGAGAGAGACAGCCGGGCTGGGGTCTGATGGAGGGGGACAGTCTGGTTATTGCTTGGAGAACGTGTTCTGCATCCTCTTTGTACTGAACATTTAACTTTCTGCCCAGGACATGAACAGAGAAGTGGTGAAGACTGACTCTGCTACCACAAGGATTCCTGAGCTAGATTTTGAAATTCCTGCCTTTAGCCAGAAAGGAGGTGAGTTTAAGATCAGAATATTTGGGCTGTTCACATGCAGCTAGAATCTTACCCTCTTTCTTGCAAACCCCCTGGTGCCAGGTCTGATGGTTTGTGTGTGGGTTCCAGCATGTAATCATTGTGATCCTCACTGGTTGCTCATGAGTGGAAACAGCTGGAAATGATAGAAAGTAATGGTAAGCCCATAGCATGCTTATTATGGAGTTTTAGCATTGCTATTATCAGACATGAATGGAACCTTGCACCTGACCTCATTTTACAGATGAGGAAATAAAGCCCAGAGAGTTCAAGTGACTTGCCCAGGGTCATACAGGCACTTAATTAGAGAGCTAAGGCCAAGACACACTTGTCTTTTGTTCTTGTTCATAAGCTCTGACCACTGTTGAAGGATTGATCACCCGTGCTATCTCTGGCCTGGAGCAGGACCAGCCTGCACGAAGGGTAAGCTGGGGTTTTCTGATTGCAGCAGCTCAAGGAATAGTTGTTTATATGTGTCTGAATAGTGTCTCATGTGGCTGAATAGTCTCTGACTAAATGTTGGAGAACTTTTAGGGTGAGCATATGGTGGTGCTGCAGCTGCTAGGATGTTGCATATGTTGTAATTCTTGTCTTTTCTCCTTCCCTCCCCCGGTATATATTCAGGTCTCATCAGACAGACAGTGTAACGTTACCTCTGAAGAGCCTTTCCTAATCCCCTTGGGTTATCTGTGTTTCTTGAGTATTCCATTGCAACTTAGAATTATGATGACAGAAGTAATATACTATAACTTCATCTTTAGTTATTTGTCTCCTTAACTGGCTGGGGAGCCCCATGAGAGGACTGATATATTTACTGTCATATATCTAACCTGGCATGAATGCCTGGGCTAAATGGTTGAATGAGTGAGAAAAATGAGGCTTACCTGTCACCACCCATCAACTTCAGCCTTGTTTGCTACATCTCATTGTGAAGCCTGAGTCACTGTGTTTCCACTCACACTGAGACAGGTGGTGACTTCCTAATGGAAATAACATGGGCATGACAAGGGGCAGGGCATAAGGCATCCCACCAGGGCTGATGCTTTACTCTCTGTTCATGGCAGGCAAACAAAGATGCCACAGCTGAAAGAATTGATGAGTTCATTGTCAAACTGAAGGAGCTAAAGCAAGTAACCTCTCCTTTTACTCTGGTGAGTGTTAAGAGACTGGAGGTGCCCTTGATTAGGGGAGGCGGGACCATTAAGACCGCTGGGATTTTCCACTGTGGTCTGATGGTAGGTGATGTAGGATTGTTTGATTTCCTGTTGCAGTGACCCTCTTTTCACCCATTTGTTAGATCATCGATGATCCCTCGGGGAACAGCTTTGTGGAAAACCCACATGCTCCTCAAAAAGATGATGCCCTGGTGATCACATACTACAGCCGGACCCGACAGCAGGAAGAGATGCTGGGGCTCCAAGTAAGTGGACTGAAGGATCCAGAGAATGCTCTGGAATTATCATGTACTCTGGATTGTTTGGAGTCAGTGGGAACTGATTTTGCTGCTGCTGCTCTTTGTGCCCTGTCTCAGCTTGTTTGTGCTTCTCATCTTGCTCATGTCCAGGACTTGGGTAAGTGGCACAGAAAGGATGGCAGTGACTGTGAATCTGCCTTAAGCTCTGTTCTTGCCTTGGTTGGGGCTATACTTTCTGGTTTCTTTAACGGATGAGATGGCACCTGACATAAGTGAGCCAGAGCATTTTCTCCCACTCCCGGTCGGGGTGTTGGGGATACTGAGGTATACCTGCCAGCTTGTGATGTGCATCTTTGTTGTTTCAGGCAGAAGCACCAGCAGAGAAGCCAGAAGAGGAAGATCTCAGAAATGAAGTGAGTCACATTGGCTACTGGTGAGGAAGGAGCAGAGTTATGGGCTGAGACTGATGCTGTTCAGTGTCTGTCTTCTTGCCACCAACACAGATGAGCACCAGCATACCAACTGAGTGTCATCAGTCTAAATATCCCATCTGGGAGGGCTCACCCTTTGTCCCCATATTGTGTTCCAGGTGCTCCAGTTCAACACGAACTGCCCAGAATGCAATGCCCCCGCCCAGACTAACATGAAGCTAGTACGTATCTTTTGCCAAGCAGTTGGGTTGCTCTTCATCTGACTCAGGCATAAAGATTATAATCAGGTTGGGAGCATCCCTTTTAAGGAAAGCATGTGCTGTATACCCAGTGATAAGGAGGATATTGTCTTTGATTAGACTGTGTACCTTGGCTTTTGGGTTCAAAGAGAAACTTAGGCCATGGTCTCTAGACTGTGTGTGGTGTGGTCTGAGCCATGCCTTGAAACATGTGAACAGCGATCACCAGGGGCTGGGAACTTGTCCTTTTCCGGAGGACTCTGGACTGCCTCTTGTGAATATTTCCAGCATTTCTGGGACCAGCATTTCTTTGTGTGGGGTTTGGCTTTGTTTTTCTTCAGATGGTGGTCTTGTTCTCCTTGGAGTAGATTTCCTTAACTCCATTTTCCAGAAATCCCTCACTTTAAGGAGGTTATCATCATGGCTACCAACTGTGAGAACTGCGGGCATCGGACCAATGAGGTGGGTGGGCACCATTATTTGGGAAGAAGAGTAGCTTAAGGGTAATCCGCTTTTAACTACCCCTAAGTCTGCTTCAGGACTCTGGCAGCAGGTGTGGAGCAGGTTGGGTCTTTTTCTTAGGTCTAGTGTAGGGTGAGGAGCCCTTGAAGGAAGGGGATATTAGCCTAGAGAAGAAAAGTTAGAGATTCCATAACTTGTTTAAGACATATTAAGGGTTGATTACATGGAAGACCCACTCCTTAGAGGTGTGGAAGTTCAGGGAGGCTGATTTTGATTTCACAATGAAGAACCTAACAGAGCTGTCTGAAAATAGAATGGGCTGCCTTGGAGGATTATAAATTCCCTTTCCCTGAGTGTATCTGAGTATAAGGTAATTAAATTCTTAAACCAGACTATTATAAAGGAGATCCACACACTGGATGCAGTGGATGAAAGGACTGGATAAATGCTTAAAACTCTTTCAACCCCAAGAGTCAGTTTTTTTGTTTTTTGTTTTTTTAGGGTAAATTCAGAGTTTGTTGGCAATTTGTGATAAGTTTTGGCATGTTACCGGGGTTGGGCACTGCTCCTGGCCAGCTCTTGTTTTTTTTGGTTTAGATGGCTGCTGTTTAGAAGGCTCTGTCTTTGGTAGCTATTAGTGGGCCTAACTGATTGGAGGTCCAAGCCTACATTCCAAGTTTCCTGGGTACCAAGTGAGGCTCGGGGTCTTCTCTCTGTTTCTCCTGTTACCTATGCAGGTGAAATCTGGAGGAGCAGTAGAAGCCTTGGGCACCAGGATTACCCTTCACATCACAGATCCCTCAGATATGACCAGAGACCTCCTCAAGGTAACAGTCTGCTTGGGAAAGTGTCCTCATAAGTTAGATAAGCTATCTCTATCTAGGGGAAGCTGTGTTTTAGAAATAATGTTCAGGGATATGAGATATCTCCTTCCCTGGCTTTGAGCACCCCCGAGCAGAGGGGTTTCATTCAAGGTTGGAATTGCAGATTTAGAAGGTGGCCTGTTAGCTCTTTCTGTTGACTTGGCAGCTTTTTGGCTTCAGTGTCTATCTGGACTCTCTTCTCTGTCCCCTAATGAGAGGATACCTGACAGCTTGAAGCTATGACTGAGTTTCCCTTTATTAAGTTGGATCTATTCTCATGGTTCAGATGGATGGGAGTGAGTCTCAAACTTTAACAAGGGAGTCAGAGAAAACTGGGACAGCTGTCCTTGTCCCTAGTCTATCACTGCTGGTATTAACTGGGCAGGAGGCCTCTTGTTGCCTTTTTTTACTTCTGACCTAAAGCTTAAACGTCTCATCTCACAGTCTGAGACTTGCAGTGTGGAAATCCCAGAGCTAGAATTTGAACTGGGAATGGCCGTCCTCGGCGGCAAGTTCACCACACTGGAAGGGCTGCTGAAAGACATCCGGGAACTGGTGAGTCACTTGAGTAGAGTGGGAACCACCTTTGAGCAGTTTGGCTGTGTGAAAAGGGACTGAACAACTTCAGACACCCTAGTTTCCGATGCTGGTAACTGTGGGTTTCTTTGCCTTAAGGCTGGTTTAAGAGACTTACATATTATTTTGGATTGTGAAGATAAGTGTGTGGGAAATGTTGAATGGAAATTCCAGGCCTAACTTTGGGACTTTCTAGTTATTTTCTGGTCTTGGATAAGTCATTTATTTTACTGTAAATTTAGGGGATGCGGGTCCTTCTAGCACCTAGAACTTCCCAACATAAAAAAACATACATGTGTGTGTCGACTTGGCCCAAATATTTATCTTCCTGATGAAGTATTTCACATGACACTCTGTTGGGCATTTTGTGTTTGTAAATTGTACTTTTTCTTTGCATTTCTTCTCCAAATTAGGATTAGAGATTATATTCTAAGAACATGTTTCCTGCTGTCGTTTTACATTGCCAGTTTTGTTATCTTGGCACATTATCCCATAGACTCCTCGGAGTGACTGCTTTGGTCAGAAAGGTGGTGTGGACTAAATGGAAACGAAGTTTCTCTGATTGGGCATCCACTGTACCCCCTGCCTAGTTTATGGTCAGGCCTAACAAACATAAAGCCAGTATTCACACAATTTGGATGTCATTTATTGCAGGTGACCAAAAACCCTTTCACACTGGGCGACAGTTCCAGTCCTGGCCAGACAGAGAAACTGCAGGAGTTTCGCCAGAAGATGGACCAGGTAAGAGGTCGCTGGCCAGTCAGTACTTGGAGTCCTGGGGCTCCAGTGAACAAGAGGCTGCATGCTCATGTCTTGCCACTTTTTGAACATCTAACCATCATGTTGGGGATTCTTCTGGTTCCCTATATTCCATGTCTTCTTTCTTATTTTTCACCCTTATTTTGTTAGAGCATCTTTTCCAGTAACTTCCCAGGAAAAAGTGCATGGGAAATAAAATTTCTGGGACCTTTCATGTTTGAACATTTCTGCTACCACACTGGAGTGACTATTGGCTGGGAATAGGATTCTAGGATAGAAATAATTTTTTACTGGCGGGCGCTGTGGCTCATGCCTGTAATCCCAGCACTTTGGGAGGCCGAGGTGGGTGGATCATGAGGTCAAGAGATCGAGACCATCCTGGTCAACATGGTGAAGCCCCGTCTTTACTAAAAATGCAAAAAATTAGCTGGGCATGGTGGCGTGTGCCTGTAATCCCAGCTACTCAGGAGGCTGAGGTAGGAGAATTGCTTGAACCCAGGAGGCGGAGGTTGCAGTGAGCCGAGATCGCACCATTGTACTCCAGCCTGGGTAACAAGAGCAAAACTCCATCTCAAAAAAAAAAAAAGAAAAAAAAAGAAAGAATTTTTTTACCAGAATTTTGAAGACAGTTTGGTGAAGACATTGCACTGCTGTCTTCCAGTTTGGCTGTTGAGAAGTCTGAAGCCATTTTTACTCCTGGTCTTTTGTATGTCACCTAGTCTTGTGATCTCTTTGTCTCCTTTGATGTGGAAGTTTAGGATGTGCCTTGGTGTGGGTCAGTGTTCACCCACCGGGCTAAGTATTTGGTGCATCTGTGGATCTTTTCAGTTTGGAAAACTCATGTGGTTCAGTTCTAGGAAGCTTTCATGAGTTATTCTATTGAGGATTGTCTTTTTTCTGATTATTTTTTCTGTTATTTCTGAAAACTCCTGGGTTTTAGATATTAGACTCACTTGTCTGGTCTTCTATAATTGACTTTTTTTTGGTCCTATTTTTAGTTTCTTGGTTTTTTTTTTTTTTTTTTTGTTCTACTTTGGGAGATTCCCTCAACTTTATTTTCCAACCCTTCAATTGAGATTTTCATTTCCACTAAAATTTTTATTTTCCAAAGAGCTTTTAAAAAAATAGCATCCTGTCTTAAGGATGTAGTATTTTTTCTTCTTGAGGATTATTATTATGGTTTTTTAAAAATTTTTTCAGCATGCAGTTTATATAGTACTTCTTGAATACTGATGTTGGATTTTTTTTGACATTTTATTCTCCTTGCATCCGATTTTTTTCCCCCATTTAGTTTCCCATCTTTCAGTTTTAAGGGCTTTGCTAGATGTCTGATAATCATTGATTGTCTTCTTACAAGTAGAGACCTAAAGATCTGAGCACGGTGAGCCTCGTTGACGTGGGGCTTAATGCAGGGGGATTTAGCTTAGCCATTTTGTTGAGGTGGCCTCCAATGCCAGAATTGTTAGGTATTTCCTCTTGGGCTGGTCAGATTTCTCTCATCCCCTCAGTGGCTATTCCATTTCCTGGCCTGAGGGTAAAGGCTTGTCTGGCAGTGTTCTGAGAGCTATGGGGAAGGGCTGGGGTGTGAATGTATTCTGTTTCCCATAAGCTTACATTCATTTAACCTCCTTGTTCTTGATTGCTTTCCCTCTACTCTCAACTGGGCCAGCACCCTTCAGTCCACAGGTTGCTGATGTTAGGTTTTCTCACCAGTTCTTATTTTAGATCCTTTCCATTTGACTTTTAGAGCTACCTAATTTCACCAATTCTTAAAACTTTTGGGGATTCTGTAATATAAACTGGGTTGGTTCTTGTCTGGCAGACGTGGCTCCCCCCCCTCCTTTTCTTTAACCGGGTTATGTAAAGTTCACTTGCTGTGTTCTCGCTCTCCTTTAGATTATCGACGGTGATGTGAGGGCCCACTTGATTATGGATGACCCAGCAGGAAACAGTTACTTGCAGGTATAGTAGACCTGGTCTGATGTTTCATAGAGACACATGTTCTGATCTTCCTTGAATATGTGTCATTTCCTTAGAAACCGAAAGACTTGATTCCAAATGGACTGCTTTTTACTGAGGAGGCAGAAATTAGAAGATACGTAAGGGAGAAAACAGGAGGGTGTGGGAGAGGATTTTTTTTTTTAAGTGTATATAAAGAAGGAAAAAAAGGATACTCTGAGGCTTCTTTTTTCCTATAGTCTAACTCTTGTCTCCAGTTCTGGAGTTTTCATTTTGCAAATGTGATTATGGAGTGATGAGAAATGGTGCCTTGTCCAGAGGCCAAGAAAGGAAACTGAGAAGCTTTAAAAGTTGGCTGGGGAGATAGTCTGGTGATTGAGGGACCTTGAACATTTATGGAATACTTATCATGGGTCAGGCAAAATTCTTGTGAGTTCTTTCCAAGATTAAGACCATTGCCACATGTTTCATAAGAAGGTGCAGATGTGGGCCGGGCGCGGTGGCTCAAGCCTGTAATCCCAGCACTTTGGGAGGCCGAGGCGGGTGAATCATGAGGTCAAGAGATTGAGACCATTCTAGTCAACATGGTGAAACCCCGTCTCTACTAAAAATACAGAAAAATTAGCTGGGCACGGTGGTGCGTGCCTGTAATCCCAGCTACTCAGGAGGCTGAGGCAGGAGAATTGCCTGAACCCAGGAGGCGGAGGTTGTGGTATCGCGCCATTGCACTCCAGCCTGGGCAACAAGAGCGAAACTCTGTCTCAAAAAAAGACGGTGCAGATGTAACAAAATAAGATGTAACAATCAGGATTGTTCCCTGATTCTGGGGCTGGGCTTTTCCACCCCTGGTTCTTGTGGGTGCTGTTGCTACCCTCTAGTTCCGTCTAGCCATGGGAAATTGGAGGCCAATAAATAGAAGAAAAAAACCAAAAGTCATTACGTTCTTGTGAAAGTGGGAGTTGGAAGCTCCCTGCAGGGAGGGAAGTGGCACGGCGGCACTGATTATTTGTCCTTGACCTTGCAGAATGTGTATGCACCTGAAGATGATCCTGAGATGAAGGTGGAGCGTTACAAGCGCACTTTTGACCAAAATGAGGAGCTAGGGCTCAATGACATGAAGACAGAGGGCTATGAGGCAGGCCTGGCTCCACAACGGTAGCAGTGGGTGGGTCAAGAGCCAGCCTCCAGCGCTGCTCATTCTGCAGGTTATTTATTAGTATTAGAAGGCTGGGAGTGCCCTCCCCACCAGCCCTTGCCCATGGTGGGAAGGACATCCTGGTCTGAATCAGAGATCTAGGCACACTTTCTAAACAGCTTGTGATGCAAATGCGAGCCTATTGTGTTATTTGACCTTATTTTGGAGGTTTTGAATTGACCTAGGAAGAAACCCAGAAATGAACCAGGGGTATGTCATGATCACTTTTTTCATAGCAGGTCTTTATCCTCCCTCCATGTAATGCTCTGTCCTCTTAAGGTTGGAACTTTGAAGTTGGAATAAATTTACACCTGGAGTTTGGTTGTCAGTTCTGAATATTGTGAAATACTGACTTTGAACAGGAAAGGAGTCTCCTGAGGGGAGACCAAGTCAGCACAAGTGAAGGAGGTACCATTAAAATGATGACTTTCAAACTGGCCTCTGTATTGGCTCTATCCTTGTTTGATATCACGCTGTTAGAATTCAGCCTCCTAAAGAAAATTTTCCTGTGTGTCCACTGTAATTTGGGGATTGCAGCTGGCATTTAATTCATTCCTGCAACAGATGGTTGCTTGTCTACTTGATGCCAAGCACACTACAGAACAGAGGACATCATACATCTCTTTTATGGAACTTTAGTGGGGAAAAATGACAACAAACAGATCAGGAAAACAGTACACGGAGGAATGTAAAGCAGAGAAGGGGGCTGGTTGTGCAAAGAAAGGGGAAGTAGGGAAGATCTTCTGAACAAGAAGGTGATCATTTGACATTTGGGCAGAGCTGAGGAGGTCAGGGAGTGAGCTGTGTGGGTAGCTGGGGGAAGAGATTTCCCGGCAGAGGAACTGCCAATGCAAGAGCTGTGAGGTTAGAGCCAGTGGGGTTATCTGACCAGTTAGCCCCACTCTTCAGTTACAAACGGCAAAACACGTTCAACCAGAGAGACAGGAGGCCATCTGCAGTTCTGAAAGTTAAGGACCAGTGCACTCTGCTGCCCAGGCCCTGGACTTGCTAGCTGGTGCTCTTTGCACTATAGTCTGCTGCCTTTCACAAATACAAGGTGACTCCTGCAGTTCAGACTGCAGGGTATTTGGTCAATAAAGACTGGTGCATTGGTCTTCATTAAGATAACATCTTTTAATTAAGATATTATCATAAACCTTACTGTGTTGTGTTGCAAACTTAACTCTGAAGAATGATTTAGAGATGACTTAGCAATCAGACATCTACTCTCACTGCTCTATTAAACTATTCTCAAAGGTCACAAGTGATTTTCCACTTGGGAAATGTTACCTCTTTCTGTCACATTTGATAGTGGACCATCTCTTCTTAACCCTTCTCTTGGCTCTCCATACCCTTGGTTTTTCCTTCACTTTGAATCTTATTTGGACACTCTGCCTCCTCCCTTTTCCTGAATTATATTTGTTTCCAAGAGTTATGCTTTCAGATATCTCTCCATATCAGATTCTTTGGCATCTTACTATCGTGGGACTAACTCCCAGACCTGTATCTCTAATTTCTGTAAGTGAGGGTGGGAGTAAGATGTTTGGAGACTCAGGTTAGCAAATGAGTCATTCAAACTATAAAGCTTCAGTGCTTTTAGTAACCTTACAGGCAACTATTCCACCCTAAGAGATTAGCTCAGCCGGGCACAGTAGCTCACACCTATAATCCCAGCACTTGGAGGCTGAGGCAGGTGGATCACGAGGTTAGGAGTTTGAGACCACCCTGACCAACATGGTGAAACCCTGTCTCTACTAAAAATACAAAAAATTAGCCAGGCATGGTGGTGCACACCTATAATCCCAGCTACTTGGGAGGCTGAGGCAGGAGAATCACTTGAACCTGGGAGGAGGCGGAGGTTGCAGTGAGTGAGCTAAGATCGTGCCACTGCACTCCAGCCTGGGCAACAGAGTGAGACTCTGTCTCAAAAAAGAGATTATCTCTAGATATGTTTCCAGCTGAATTGGGAATCTAAGTTTACCAGACAACCCTTCATTTGGTCTCTTAGGTAGACTTCCCCATAGTGTGGGTGTGCTCTGTTAAGATAAACCCCACTCTCAGGTTCATTTTCCAATGTGAAGGAAAAAAAAATGGCACTCCGGCTTATTGCCGAATCTGTTATGAGTTTGGTTGATGCAAGGCAGTCTCAGAATTCACCAAGTTCCTGGGAAATGACCTGAGTCTCTGAACTTGCAAAGACTGAGGACCAGGTGCCAGACCAGTATAACCCAACTAAGGCACTTCCTGCCCTTTGATGACAAGGCATTCTTCAGTTTCATACCCTTTTCTTGAAGCATCACTCAGCTCCTTTTTCATTTCATAAAGTGTGTCAGGATGGGAGCTTACATTTAGTTAACTGGGTCTTGCTCCACAGCCCCTAGCATATGACACATGGTGAGTAAAATCTGTTAAAATTGTCCAACCTAGATCAAAGCCTATGAGGACACGAGGGATAACATCTGTAAGTAATAAGGCATGGAAAGGGTCTTGCTTTAAGGCCAGGGCAGGTGAGACAGTCAAAAGTGCCAGGCCAAGAACATGCAGATTGTTTCACAGCCACAAAACTAAAATTTAAGTGGAAAGTTTTGTGATTGTGTTAAAAAAAGAAAGTGGGCCGGGCGCGGTGGCTCAAGCCTGTAATCCCAGCACTTTGGGAGGCCGAGGCGGGTGGATCACGAGGTCAAGAGATCGAGACCATCCTGGTCAACATGGTGAAACCCCGTATCTACTAAAGGTACAAAAAATTAGCTGGGCATGGTGGCGCGTGCTTGTAATCCCAGCTACTCAGGAGGCTGAGGCAGGAGAATTGCCTGAACCCAGGAGGCGGAGGTTGTGGTGAGCCGAGATCGCGCCATTGCACTCCAGCCTGGGCAACAAGAGCGAAACTCCGTCTCAAAAAAAAAAAAAAAAAAAAGAAAGTGGTTTGTGTGTGAGGGCACACCTCTTGCTTTCATGGTTCAAATATGTGAAATGCAGCCATGTTGTCATTAGACCTGTGGATGAACATACAGGTAAGTACTGAATATACATCTGTGTGGAGCTGAGTGAGTGGAGGAGGTGAGGTGAGTCCTGGGAGCAAGTATGAAGGGCACTTGACTTGGCCAACAGAAAGCTAATGATTTTAATGATGGCAACACTTGGCCATGCGAGGTGGTTCTCGCCTGTAATCCCAGCACTTTGGGAGGCCGTGGCGGGTGGATCACCTGAGGTCGGGAGTTCCGAGACTAGCCTGACCAACGTGGAGAAACTCTGTCTCTACTAAAAATACAAAATTAGCCGGGTGTGGTTGCGCATGCCTGTAATCCTAGCTTCTCAGGAGGCTGAGGCAGGAGAATCTCTTGAACCCAGGAGGCGGAGGTTGTGGTGAGCCAAAGATTGCACCATTGCACTCCAGCCTCAGCAACAGCACTGAAACTGTCTCAAAAAAAAAAAAAAAAAAAAAAGGCAACCCTTTTTTGTTCTAATGTCAGTGTATTTCCTTCTTTGTATACCTATAGTATGTGCCTGATGCCCACTGCAGAGAATGGTGCCTCTGCTTACATTTAGGGCAGTGGTGGTTAAGACTACTTGGCTTTATTCTTATTAAAAACATTTTTTACACATTTCTTTTTAAGGCAAATGGCAGTGTTTCCAATGGCGAAGAGAAAAAAAGCTACTGCTTATTTTGTGTGTTCACCTCGGAGTTTAGTATTGGTACTTCCAATACTTGTTTTCCTATTCTGTAAAAGGGGGATAATTGGGGCTTCGTAGAGTTTTTGTAAGGATTAAATGAGTTAATGGTGAAGTGCTTTTGTATATACTTTCTCTCATACTATCCTCACAAAAATTCTAAAGTGTTTATTTCTGCATTAACTGATTTTTGGGAAGAGGCACCTATCAATAAACAAAATTATCCCCATTTTACAGGTGACAAAACAGCCTCAGAGAGGCTAGGTAATTTCCAGAAGGAAGTAAAGCTTTTTTTTTTGTTTGAGGTGGAGTTTCCCTGTTTCCCAGGCTGAAGTGCAGTGACCAGATCTTGACTCACCACAATCTCTGCCTCCTAGGTTCAAGTGATTCTTCTGCCTCAGCCTCCCGAGCAGCTGGGACTACAGGTGCACACCAGCATGCCCAGCTAATTTTTGTATTTTTAGTGGAGACGGGGTTTAACTATGTTGGTCACGCTGGTCTCGAACTCCCGACATTGTGATCTGCCTGCCTCAGCCTCCCAAAGTGCTGGGATTACAGGTGTGAGCCACCATCCCTAGCTGGAAGTAGAGCTTCTAAGAGGAGGTGTCAAACTCAGGCCAACCAGACTCTGAAAACTGAGCTCTGAAGATTTTGAGCTCAACCCCACAATTACTGCATAGCATCTAATCCGGCTTAACTGCCCTGCAGGGTAGGGTGGAGACACTTGGGTCTTGTCAGGCTAAGGGACTGGGTAGGATGGGTAGTGGTGGAATTGAGGAAGACAAGTGGGAAGATGGGTGGGCGGAAGTTGAGAGGGCTATATTGGCAGTCTTCACTGGAGCAGGAGTGTGAGGCTTTCTGAATGCCTGCTGACACCAGGGTGGGGCAGGGCTGTGCAGTACAGTTTAAGATACACCAAACTGGACTAGAAGCCAAGGCAGGGTTGTGTATGGGGTACCCCTAGGGCCCTCCAGCTAGCGAAGCCCTATCCTCTCAATCCAGTGTCCTTGTGTCACAAGCCCTCAGAGACCCAACCTGCTTTCCTTTCTGGAACCGTGCTGCAACCACTCACCATGGCCCACTGGGTAAAAATTCATGCTTCAAGACTGTGATCCCCAAGCCTATTTTGTATTATTTGAGTAAAGAATTTTTAAAACACGTATCCCAACATACGTATATTTATTTATAAAGTAAAACTATGCCTGCTTGACTAATATATTAAAACTGAGCTTTTTGGCTCTTGGTCCAAGAAACTATTGTCTGCACTTCTGTTGTGCATAGTATCCACAAATTCTGTCAGAAGGCTGTGATTTCAGTAACACTAAAACTTCTCTCTCAAATGGTACAAATATCCAGTTTAAAGGCAAGTTCCTGGGATCTAATGTACAACATGCTGACTGTACTAATCATTCCTATTGTTTATTTGAAATTTGCTAAGGCAGATTTGCTTAAGTGCCCCCCCCCAAGTAGTACATAAGTAAGTCTAGTAAAGGATGTTTTAATTAATTCGATTTTGGTAATCATTACACAATGTGTACGTATACCCAATCATCACACCGTACACTTTGAATACATAGAATTTTTATTTGACAAATAACCTCATAAGGCTGGGGAAAAACGATAAAAAAGTGACAAAAATCTAACATGATGAGGTAAAAAGATGTTATATTTCAAGAAATTTGGATGGCCTCTTGCACCCCACTTTGCTAGCCTCTACTCCCGAGTCATGTTCTGGCCATGTGAAGTTGAACAGCTTCCTTAATCCTGCCAACTTTCAGTCCCTATTTGTAAAATATGGCAATGAAACAATTTGAGAATTGTGAGGATTAAATAAGTTAATTTAATTTGCTCTTAACCTCCTGCAAAGAAGAAAGTCTTTTCTTTCCTCCCAAAACTGGAGTGTTAGAATTCATTCTCTCTGGTTTCTTTCTTTTGCTATGCTGAAAATATATTCAGGTCCTTTTCACTGGCAATATTTTATCAATGCTATGTATTTTCTAATGTTGTATTACAAGTTCCCCTCCCCGTTATCTCTTGAAGTAAATATATTTTTCAAGAGATAACTGGGGGGGTCGGTTGTATTACAAGTTAACAAGTTTACAGAGGTCTTAGAAACCACGTTTTTCATAGTAATTGTGTTGGTTTGCACTTCCTGGCTTCCTTTCTCGAACAGCAGGTATCTGGAAGCCTAGTGGAGCAGATTCTTCCCACTTGAAGATACGTATAAAAATAGCGAGACCTGCCTGGGCGACATATCGAGACCCCGTTCTCCACAAAAAAAGGGGAAAAAAATAACGAACATAGTTCCGATGACCATGTGCCCAAACGCTCTGCGCACTGCACACAGTAGTGTCATCTCAGCCTGTGACCATTCCGAGTTAGGTGCCGGGATTCTCCCCGTTTTGCGATAACTCGCCCGAGGTCGCACAGCTAGCTGGCTATGTATGGAACCAGTATTCAAGTTCCGCTACGCTGCAGCCCGTGGCTCTCCACTTTCTTGCCCTTGCTGTGGAGCTTAGGCAGACGCTGGGGGCGGGGTCTTGTTGGGTCAGGTTGTGGCCTCCTGGCCAGAACAGCGCCTGTGGCGGTTGGATGGATGGATGGGTGGGTGGGTGGATGAAGAGAAGATGCCTGGTGGCGTCGTCCCAGGGCGCCCGAAGCTGTGCACATCTCCGGCTAGTCTGCGAGCGCGCCCCCGGCGGCTGCACCTGCCAGCCGCGTCATTCTCAGCACGCTCCGCCACTTCCGGCCTTGGCCCCACTTCCTCAGGTGGCTGGCGCGCGCTACGCGTTGAGGCATTTTGTCCCCAGCGCCGAGCCGTCTCTCCGCCCCCGCCGCTGCCATGGCGGCAGCTCCGCCGCTTTCCAAGGCCGAGTATCTGAAGCGTTATTTGTCCGGGGCAGATGCCGGCGTCGACCGGGGGCCTGAGTCCGGCCGCAAGCGCCGCAAAAAGCGGCCGAAGCCTGGTGGGGCCGGCGGCAAGGGGTGAGTTGGTACCGGCCGGGGCGGGGCCTGCGACGACTCGCCCCCCTCTCACCCTTCCCAACTCCACCCTCGGCCGCCGGGCCTTGCCTTCCCTCCTGGCGGGTCTCTTGGCTGCTGCGCCGGCCCCTGCTCAGACCCAGGGCCCCACTCGCACCGCGTGAGGCCCCCGCCTTGCCTCTGCCGCCCCGCTTACACCTCGAGCCTCTGATCATTAGCGTCAGTGCATTAAAGCCGGGCTGTAACTTTGATGACTCTTTTCCCGCCTTGGTAGACTTTCGTCCTCTCTCCCGTAGGGAATGAGTATTGTGCCCCGAGAATAATGGAGCGGATTCAAAGCCTGTGCTTGGATCTTTAGGGCCCGGCACCTGCCTGTGGGGGTTCCCAAATCCCAAGGACTTGGTTCTGAATCAGAGACCTTCGATCACCTCCTGTTACTCTTAGTAATAGTCCTGCTAACAAGAGCAGCTGACATTTGTGTCGTTCTTCTCATTATGCTTTCCTTGCCAGGCAACATTATAAGAAATTTAAACATATATGAGTTTATTTAAGCCTCACGACAGTACCATGAAGTGGGTATTACTTTCAAATGGGAAAACATTGTGGCCCTCTGTAGTGGGACCTACCAAATCGTTTCCACCCAGAACCACAGAATGTGACATTTAAAATTAGGGCCTTTGGAGATGTCATCAATAAGATGAGGCCATACTTGATTAAGGTGGGTGCCCAATCCAAGATGACTGTTTTCCTTTTAAGAAGAGGGAAGTGTGGACACAGACACAGCAACAAAGAAAAAAACGAGCATGTCTAGATGAAAGCTGAGATTGAATTGGATTTATGCTGCCAAAAGCCAAGATATACCTGGGGCTACCAGAAGCTGGAACAGGAGAGATTCTCCCCTAGAGACTTTCCAGGGAGATTGGCCTTGCAGACCCCTGGATTTCAGACTGCTAGCTTCCAGAACTGTGAGAGTTTCTGTTGTTTTATGCCACCCAATTTGTGGTACTTTGTTAAGCAACCCTAAGGCACTAAGATACCCAGCGAAGTCACATTGTTCCAAAGAACTAGCCCATTTTCTTCTGTCTTCTGTCTTTCTGCGTCGCTGGCTCGTGTGGATCCTTTAGGGGCAGTGCCGTGTGATGAAAGTAGCTTGAGCCTTGGAGCAGCACTGATGAGAGTTCAAATCCTAGCGGTGCCACTTTGTAGGCTGTGTGCCCTTGGGCAAGGTGTTTCATCTCACTGAGCTGCAGTTTCCTTATCTTTAAAATGAGAATAATACTGAATAGTAATGCTTATATTAGGTGGTGGTGGTTGTGATTAGCGGGATTGCATTCAGTGACCTTGGCTTTTTGAATGACTTCACGTCATGGCAGTCGTTGCTATTATTTGGGCTTAACTATAGTTTATCCCTGTACCAAACATTTATAGCATACTTCCTCTTCCAGTTACTGTAGGGTGTTGAGGATGCCTCTGAACAAATAAGATATAGGCCCTGTTCTTGTAGGCTTATAGTTAAATGGGAATACAGGCATTAAGTAATAACACAAGTAATTAATATATTTCCTTTAGGATAAACACAATGAAAGTATTCCAAGAGTTTTTAACGAGGGTTCTTAGTCTTGAGTTAGTGTGGGCTGGGGAGGTTAGGGGGAGGAAGGAGTCAAGAAAGGTTTGCCAAAGGAAGTTAAATTTGCGTTAGGAACTGAATTATGAGAAAGAGTTTCCTACCACTTTGGGAGGCCAAGACGGGTAGATTGCTTGCATCTGGGAGTTTGAGACCAGTCTGGGCAACATGGTGAAACCCTGTTTCTACAAAAAATACAAAGAAGTAGTCAGGCATGGTGGCACGTGCCTGTAGTCCCAGGTACTTGGAAGACTGAGTGGGGAGAATAACTTGAGCCCGGGAAGTCAAGGCTGCAGTGAGCTGTGATCATGCCCCTGCGCTCCAGCCTGGGCAACAGTGTGAGACCCTGTCTCAAGAAAGAAAAAGATTGAGAAGAGTAGATCAGGCAGAGGGAAGGAACTGCATATGTGAAAACTGATGTGGTAGGAACTTGGCTCCTTTCTAGGCACCAAAGGATGACCCAGGGAGGTGTTCAACCAAGGAAATAGTGGTACGAGATGAAATTCACCCATGTAGACAAAGACTGGACCATGCAGGATCCTGTAGGATTTTGAACTTTATTTTAAAACCAGTAGACGAGTGGTTTTAGGCTGATATCCTACAATGACTTTGATCATCTTCTTCTTCTCATTTAGAATGCGGATTGTGGATGATGATGTGAGCTGGACAGCTATCTCCACAACTAAACCAGAAAAGGAGGAAGAGGAAGATGATGGAGATTTGCCTGTGGTATGTGTCTTTGGGGCTGTCAGGATTTTGAAATGAAGCAAGGTTCTCTTTTTTTTTTTTTTTGAGATGGAGTCTTGCTTTGTTGCCCAGGCTTGAGTGCAATGGAGTGATCTTGGCTCACTGCAATCTCTGCCTCCTGGGTTCAAGCAATTTTCCTGCCTCAGCTTCCCCATTAGCTGGGATTACAGGCACCCGCCATCGTGCCTAATTATTTTTTTTTGTATATTTGTAGGGACGGAGTTTCACCATGTTGTCCAGGCTGGTCTTGAACTCCTGACCTCAAATGATCCACCTGCCTTGGCCTCCCAAAGTGCTGGGATTACAGTCGTGAGTCACTGCGCCTGGCCAAGCTTCTCAATTTCTTTTCCCAGCTCAGGGTAAATTTGTAGGGGGGATAGTTGAGAACAGAAAATAGGTGACAGTTTCCAAAGAGCTGTTTTAAATAATTATCTTTGATAATGCCTGTACACCAACTTCTCTCTTTATGGAGGGCCCATCAGCCTAGAAATGAGATGGTTAACAGAGAGTGAGAACTCCTCAACATCAGTGATAGAGTCATGATGAGAAGTAGCTGTGGTTCTAATGATGAGAATTAGCTGTTGTTGGAATCTTCCTTAAAAACAGTGTTGAGGTTCAATTATAGGGAACTTCTTATTTGCTCCTTTTTTTCATTGATTTAACTAAGCTTTCAAGTTGTGTATTCTTGCATAGGAACTGGAGATTCGTAGATGAATGTGCTTTAGAGTTTATACCCTAGAATGAAAAACTGAATTTCAAATACATTTTAACAGTATGGTAAGTGTTGGGGATATATTTCACATATATACCAAGTACCATTAGAGCCCAGGGGAGATAGCACACTTAGTGTTCTGTTGAGCTATCCTGAAAGATGTAAATATCTTAACTGAGTTTTGAAGGATAAGTAAGAGCCATGTGGACAAAATCATAGGCAATTGACCTCCCAGTGGTTCCTGAAACCATTGCTGAGAATTTCTTAATAACAAAGTGGAAAGGAGAGCTGTTGATAGGCTGAATTGCACTAAAGATAGTAAAGATGGATTCCAGATGCATATTTAACATTAATTCCCAGCAAAATTCTAAAACAGATTGTTTAAAAGAGGGCTTGCTAGTGATTAGAAGGGAAATAGTGATCTCAGGGAGTCAATTTAGTTTTGGTCAGAACAAATTAATATTAACAATGTTTGTTGTTGTTTTTAATTTTGTAAAAACAATGCATATTTATTACAGAATATTTGGGAATTAAAGTTTAAAGTTTTTAAAAGAATAACCATTTATATTATGACCATCCAAAGATAACTGCTAACATTTGGATGCGTATCTCTTCAGGTTTTTCTCTTTAGTGATTATACATGCTTGTATCTTATTTTTTTTAACATAATTGGGATCATACTGTACATATGGTTTTGGAATCTGCTCTTCTGCTAAATAATAGGTTGTGGATATTTTCGTAAGACCTTAAAATATTCTTTGAGTGTATGATTTTTAATGGTTACATAGTAGGTCAATATATATATTTATTTAATCTGCCCTATTACTGGATACATGGATTGTTTCAACTTTTAAAATATCATAAATCATTGTAAGAATCAGTTTATTTCTTTATTCCATAAAATGAAATGAATGGATCAAAGGATACGGTTCTTTTTCGTTATAGTCCCGTATTGCTTTCCAAAAGGTGCTACCAGTTTACACTCCCACTAGAGGTAATGAGAATGCCAGGTTGCCTACTTTGTCAAATGATTATTATTATCATTTTTGAGACACGGTCTTGCTCTGGTGCCCAGGCTGAGGTACAGTGGTGTGATCATGGCTCATTGTAGCCTCTGTTTCCCAGGTTCAAGCAATCCTCCTACCTTAGCCCCACAAGTAGCTGGCACCACAGGTGTGTACCTCCATACCTGGCTAATTTTGTTTATTTATTTAGTTTTTTAGAGATGAGGTCTCTTTGTGTTGCCCAGGCTGGTCTTGAACACCTTGGCTCAAGTGATCCTCCCACCTAGGCCTCCTAATGTGCTAGGATTACAGGCATGAGCCACCACACCTGGCCATTTTCTTTAATAATATTGTCTTGCTTTTATGATGGCCCAAAAACCTAAACAAAGGAGGCTTTAGTGCCAGTCCTCTCTGCATTGGTTAAAACAAATCTTGATTATTGAATTCATTTTTGTTACTGCAAGATTACCACCACCACCATTAATAATGGCACAATGATTTTGATTATTTGTAATAGCAGTGGCAGCACAGGAATAACTAATAGGTATAATTTATTGAGCATTTATCATATACCAAGCATGGCTAAGTGTACATGAACTATATCATTCAATCCTTACAGTAATCCTTTGAATCCCACTTTTACAGATGAGAAAATTGAGGCTTAGAATAGTTTACCAAAAGTTACACAAATGCTAAGTGGCAGAGCTGGGGTTTAGATCTCAATTCATCTTGCCTGAAACCTGTGCTTTTAATGCTCAGTGAGCGATCTCAAAACTGGGTTATATGAAGAATGACTGTAGGATTTTGGGAGAAGTAGAGGGCAATTATAATCTGGATTTTTTTTTTTTTTTTTTGAGACGGGGTTTTGCTTTCGTTGCCCAGGCTGGAGTGCAATGGTGCAATCTTGGCTCACTGTAACCTCCGCCTCCCAGGTTCAGGTGATTCTCCTGCCTCATCCTCCTGAGTAGCTGGGATTACAGACATGTGCCACCACGCCCAGCTAAGTTTTTGCATTTTTTTTAGTAGAGACAGGGTTTATCCGTGTTGGTCAGGCTGGTCTTGAACTCCTGACCTCAGGTGATCTACCCGCCTTGGCCTCCCAAAGTGCTGGGATTACAGGTTTGAGTCACCATGCCCGGCTATGATCTGGATTTAAATTTCAATTCCACCACTTGCTAGCTTGTGACATTGAGAAAGTTACTTCTCTGAGTCAGTTTGCTATTCAGTAGTGTAGAACCTTTCTTTGCAGGGCTATTGTGAGAAATATATGAGATTATATGAGTAAAACACAAACCACAGTGCCTTGCGCATAGTTGCTACTCTGTAACTAGGATTTATTGTGCCAGCAAACACTGAACGTTTGTCATGTGGAAAGGGGATCAGTTGCATCAGAGGTCAGAACTAGAATCAATTCAAGGAAGTTATAAGAAGGTAGATATGGGGCTGGGCGCCTGTAATCCCAGAACTTTGGGAGGCTGAGGTGGGTGGATCACAAAGTCAGGAGATAGAGCTCATCCTGACCAACATGTTGAAACCCCTTCTCTACTAAAATGCAAAAAATTAGCCAGGCGTGGTGGTCCCAGCTACTCAGGAGGCTGAGGCAGGGGAATCGCTTGAACCCGGGTGGTGGAGGCTGCAGTGAGCCCAGATTGCACCACTGCACTCCAGCCTGGTGATAGAGTAAGACTGTCTCAAAAAAAAAAAGGAAGGTAGATGTGGGCCCAATAAAACTAAGAACTTTCTAACATTTTTTAAAAGTGCAGTGGACTACGTTGTAAGATAATCAGTTCCTTGTCAGGAAGGGATTGGGTGAGTGATCATTTATTAGGAATACTCTAGGGAAGATTCTGATTTGTTCAGAAGTTTGGAAGATATGACATGTAGTTTTAGCTCTTAAAGATTAATGATTCTGTGTACATCTCAGTGGCTCTTTTTGGTTGTATTCAAGAAAACCTACGATTGTGACTACCTACAACAAGAAAGGTTTTATAGAAACCCAAAGTCCTTGATTAGTTCTAGGCATGATGAGGAGGGCCACCTATGTTTTCACTCTTAATGTAAAAGTAAAAATGTAAAAGGAATTTTGTTGTTAGCTTACAAGTGGCTGTTGTGTACCTAGCAGGTTAATAAAAAGGTTTGTAATGAAAGAAATTAACCTTTGCAGGGAAATTGATTAGTTAGAGAAGGATCTACAATTCAACCAAGACAGTGACAATCAGATGTTTATGGAGCAAACGTAACTGAAGACTCCTACTTATTTCTTCATGACCGTTTTGGATATGTGTGTGCCCTTATGTTAGGAATCGGAATAGTTGTAACTTCAGATTCTTGAGACAATGCTTCTTGGTTGGATCCTGTGAATTTCCTCAGTATAGTAAATCTTTACTCCTGCAGGTGGCAGAGTTTGTGGATGAGCGACCAGAAGAGGTGAAGCAGATGGAGGCCTTTCGTTCCAGTGCCAAATGGAAGCTTCTGGGAGGTGAGTTCCAACAAAAGGCACATCTAAATTTCCATTAGTAGGGGAGGTCTTTTTTCTTTTCCTATACTTTTCTTTTAGAAGAATGCATAATTTGTTTTAGCTTGTCATTGATGCTGAAAAATATAGCAGGAAAAAGGAATTTGGACTTCTTCAGAGGTAGTAAGACATGGGAACTTAGAGACCAAATATTCCTTTCTCTTATATTTTGGCATCAGGGTTACTGAGGTCAGTGACTAATTTGGAGGCCTTTGAGTACCCATTCCTCTTTGACCCAGAATAGGAGAGCACTTGATATAGGCAAGACTTGGGGGGAGTTTACAAGAAACAGGAACAGAATTTGGAGACATTAGCCACCTCTATCCTCTTCCACAATGAAGCAGCTCATTTCTGGGAGGGTCAAGGACCAATGTTTTTTGTTCTGTTTATTTGTGTTAGTAAATTTCTCTCTTCTTTCCTTAAATATTGGCATTTTACAGTGCATTACCCTCCACTTGCCCATTCTAGACTCTTCTTAAGCTAATATTTATAATTTAACCGTCTTAAAAAAAAATGTGAGTCCTTGAGAATTGGATAAAAAGCATTTGTTTATCACATCTGTTTGAGCATAGTCTAGTCTTATTTGCCGTGATGTTCCTCTGTCTAGCACAAGGAGCTACCTAGTAAATAGTTGTAGAATTGTTGAATTGCTAGTAGGGATTTGATTTTTGTAGCCTAATCGGAATTCTTTTCCAAAGAAAATCTTTTGGTTTCTATATCTGTTTGTCTAGGAAGACACACAGACACACACAGTGCTTCTTCTTCTGTATCTGAATGTTTAGAAAGACATACAAACTTGCACACACACAGTGCTTTTTCTTCTGTAACTGAATGTGTGGAAAGTCACACATACATACTCTCTCTCTCTCTCTCTCTCTCTCTCTCCCTCCATCCCCCCCCTCCCTTTCCCTCTCCCTCTCCAACCCTCCCTCCCCCTTCCTTTTCTTCTGCCTTACTCTCACTTCCCTATCCCAATTTGTTACTGGAAATATGCTCACCAGTCTCCGACCCTTACTTCCTTTAGATTTGCTGTTAGGCCCCCACAGACATCATACTTCTCTCTGTGGAGTGGATTAGAATCAGATAGGCCTGTTACCCAAGCTAAAGGGGTTGACTTGGTTTAATTAATCTATTTAACAAGTATTCATCAGGTCCTACCTAGCTGTTATTTGTATTTGGGCTATGGAGCTGAATGACAAGAAATAGAGGTAGAGGAAGAACTGGAATTTGAAACTGTTCCAGTTGCTGTAGATATTTCATTCTGCGGTGCCTCTGAAAATGGAAAGTCTCAAACTATGTATTTTCACTTTAAAGATTTACATATTTTAAAGATTGCACAGAGTCTATGGACTCTGGAGTCAAATAGAGTTGGATTTAAATATATCTCCACCACTTATTAGCAGTATGACTTGGGCAAGTTAATCTTTCTGAGTATCAGCTTCCTCATGTGTAAAATGGAAATAACAATATTTACGTCCCAGGCTTGTTAAGAGAATTGAATCAGGTAATCTCTACATTGGCACACAGTAGGTGATTGGTAAATGCTTGTTCCTTTTTCTTTTTTCCCGGTGGTGATTTTTCCCCTCTCTAACAAAGAACACAGTGAAATGGATTAAATAGTTAACAGCATTTTATTTTGATGTTCGTTGGTTTAGTCAATTTACCTTTTGAAAGAAGGGTGAGTATGAACTATAAAGTATCTGGGCTAAATATCAGTAGGAGCCACTGTCTGGTAACTGCACAAATGAGGTTTTAGAAAGAGCACTGGACTGGGAGTTAGGAGACTTGGATTCTAGCCTGTATCTTCATCTTAGTAGCTGTGACCTTAGGTCAGAAATCACTCAGCTCCTCAGCTGAAAACATCATGCTGTAATACAAGGGTACCTGCCCTGCTTGTCTTATAGGGTATAATATAAAAAATGTACTGGAAATACTTTGCACATTTATGACTTAGTAGGCAAATAAGACAGGTTATTCTTAAGATATTCATGAGTGCTGGTTTGCTGCTCCTAAGCAAGGAAACTACAGGACTTTTGGGCTTTCTGAGCAGTTCTGAGGTTATGTGCTGCTGGAGCATCTTTTGAAACTGGGTGTGAAGCGGGGACAGAGGGACAGAGCATTTGTGGGAATCTGACTATTTGTTATTTGTGTTTAGGCCACAATGAAGACCTACCCTCACATGGGCATTTTCGTCATGATACCCCAGATTCATCTCCTAGGAGAGTCCATCATGATACCCCGAATTCGTCTCCTAGGAGGGCCCGTCATGACTCCCCAGATTCTTCTCTCCTCAGAGGAGCTTGTCATGACTCAGACACATCTCCCAGGAGGATCCGTCATGACACCTCAGACACTTCACCCCCAAGGAGGGCCCGTCATGATTCTCCCGATCCTTCTCCCCCCAGGAAGCCCCAGCATAATTCTTCAGGTGCATCTCCTAGGAGAGTCCGTCATGATTCACCAGATCCCTCTCCTCCTAGGCGAGCCCGTCATGATTCACCAGATCCCTCTCCTCCTAGGCGAGCCCGTCATGATTCACCAGATCCCTCTCCTCCTAGGCGAGCCCGTCATGATTCACCAGATCCCTCTCCTCCTAGGCGAGCCCGTCATGATTCACCAGATCCCTCTCCTCCTAGGCGAGCCCGTCATGATTCACCAGATCCCTCTCCTAGGCGAGCCCATCATGATTTCTCAGATACCTCTCCCCTCAGAAGGGCCCATAACAACTCCCCTAACACATCTCAACCTAGGAGGACTCTTGCCTCTTCAAACATGCAGCAACTCAGAAGGGCTCGTCATGACTCCCCTGATTTGGCTCCTAATGTCACTCATTCCCTGCCCAGAACCAAAAGTAGTAAAGCCCCAGAAAGAGCCTCTAGCAAGACTTCTTCACATTGGAAGGAGTCAGGAGCCTCTCATTCGACACTCCCAAAGAACAGCAAATATGAGTATGACTCTGACCTCTCTCCTCCACGAAAAAAGCAAGCAAAATCTCATTTTGGAGATAAGCAGCAGCTTGATTACAAAGGTGAGCATATGACTGTCCATGAGAGGGATGTGTGTATCCCCTGGGAGCTTTCTTTTGGCCCTTTACTTGCTTTATAAGGTCTAAGAATGGAGTTTCTTTGGGAAAGTTTTGAAAAGTGAGAGGCTGGGGTTGGGAGAGTTAAAAAATTACGGTGGTAGGGAGGAAGGTTTTCATATATCTTTTTATTTACTTGCCCCACCCCATATAAAAGTACAATTTTTTTTGTTGCAGAAGCTTTAGAATGTACAGAAGTGTATAAAGAGAAAAGTGACACAAAATTCTGTCATTCAGAGGCAATTGTTAGTGTTGCAGCCAGGGTCATCTTAATCTTTTCTGGTTTTTGATTTGCATTTTTGATATAGTTGTGCTCTGGCTATGCAGAATATTGTATTGCGTTTGTAATCTTGTCTGCTGTCTTTTCTTAATATAGTCTTCCTCAGGCCATAAAAACATCTTTATGTTAATATGATGTTAATAGTGTTCCATTACATAAAATTACTTAACCATTTTTCTAATAATGAGTGTTTTTGGTTATTTCTAAGTTTTTGCTTCTGCAATTCTGTAACAGACATCTTGTACATAAAGTGTTGTCCCCATTTTTGATTATTTCCTTATCTATTTCTAGATAGATTTCCTGGAAATTCAACCACTTCTGTATAGGTTTCCTAGAAAGCTGAGAAGTTGATTTACTGGGTCAGAAGATGTGGGCATTTTAAAGACTGTCCATACATATTGCAGATTGCTCTTTGGGAGGTGATTTGTGATGCTTATACAGTCACTAGAACTTAGGCCTGTGCAGTGAAATTTTTTACTCCCTCTTTTCTTTCTAGGAACTATTTTAATTTTAAAATTAAACTACTTTGTTATCATTTAGTCTGAGGATATCAGAATGTATTCTAGGTATTTCTGACTTTTGTCACGCTATGGAGCACTGACTATACAAATGTTTTGTCTGTCCATGGGTGGGGTAACTGACATGGAGGAGTGTGTGGAGATCTCACACACGGTTACAGCCACTGGTCACTTGGTAATAGAATGCCATCTTCTACCTGTTGGTCTTAAAAGTTGTTTCTGACTTTGCTTTTCTCCTGTGTCATTCATACTTATGTTTAGGTTAATGAGAATTCTTCATAGGAAAACTAAATAAATATTGTATATTAGCTTGGTAAGTTATTTTTTTTAGATTCTTCCAAGGGGATTAAAGAATTGTTTGGCCAGGCATGGTGGCTCAAGCCTGTGATCCCAGCACTTCGGGAGGCCAAGACGGGCAGATTACCTGAGGTCAGGTGTTCAAGACCAGCCTGGCCAACATGGCAAAACCCTTTCTCTACTAAAAACACAAAAATTAGCCGTTTGTGGTGGCGCACACCTGTAGTTCCAGCTACTTGGGAGGCTGAGACACAAGAATCACTTGAACCCAGGAGGCAGAGGTTGCAATGAGCTGAGATCGTGCTGCTGCACTCCAGCCTGAGACTGTCTCACAAAAAAAAAAAAAAAAAAAAAAAAAAGAATTCTTTCATTTGGAGGTTCTTCTCACAGTCATAGGAGATTTTATGTAAGTTCTTCACCTAGAGGACATCAGAGTCACACAGATTCTTTCCTTCTATCCAGGTGACTGCCAGAAAGCAACTGATTCAGACTGTTCTTCTCCATGGCGTAAACAAAGTACAGGGCACCAGGATTCTGATTCAGATCTGTCACCTCCACGGAATAGACCTAGGCACCGGAGCTCTGATTCTGACCTCTCTCCACCAAGGAGGAGACAGAGGACCAAATCTTCTGATTCTGACCTGTCCCCACCTCGAAGGAGTCAGCCTCCTGGAAAGAAGGTTAGGATTTTCAGAAGCTATGTCCTTATTTTCGCATGACTCTTCTCTCTGAGCTTTATATGTGTCCCAGAGAATCAAGCCAAAGGAGAAGGATGTAGCTTTTAGAAGTGTAGTAAATCTTAGTTAAAAGGACCTTTGGATCTCTTTCTTTCTGAAGGCAAACTGGCTATAACCCAGCCCAGGTGGATTTATAGATACCACATTTCCCAAGTCGCTTCTGCTTTTATAGCCTCTTAATTCTACAAATCTCATTTTAGCAGGTCCAGAAAAGCTTCCTATATTCTTAGGAATAAACTGAGGACTGTAATTTGCAGAGTGGAGTTTGGGGCACAAGCATTGTGTCAAACAAATCACATATTGAAATTCTCCTTCTGCCACTTACTGTCTGTGAGATTTGGGCAAGTTGCTTATTATCGCTAAACCTCAGTTTCTTTATCTGTAAATTGTTGTTAATAGCAGTACCTACTGTGTAAGGTTGTGATAATTAAGCCAGTGTAAATAAATCTCTTAGCATAGTGTCTGCATCTAGTGTAAGCATCTGGTATTGGTGATTTACTAGTATAAATTGACCTATAGGTCTCTGTATCCAGAGCTTAAGAAGAGACACTTAAAATACGGAACTACTTTTAGAAATCATGTTGTCTGGGAAGTTAATGTTTTGTTCTGAGTTCATGATAAAGCTTGATGAATTAGCCAAAAAACCCAAAACTCCATATGAACCTTGAGTAATTCTATTGTAGAGAACATTAATAGTAGTAAAGGAATCTGATTTGTGAGTGGTTAAGAAACAGAATGATGGAGGCTGTGGTGTGCATTTTTCTCCCCAATGCAGACTTACCAGGTAAATCTTGTCTGTTGAAGAAGGGTCTGAGAAGACTGGTCCTGGTAGGGTAGATCAGCCTTTTCTTTACCCAGGGAGTGAGAGTCTTCTCTTTTCTGGAAAAAAGAGGTCTCTGTTTCAGCTGGACCCCTTGACATTTTATGTATCCATTTAGTTAATGGACAACTTAATATTATAGTTGCTTAAGGATATCAGGATATACTGTGTGCTTCATTTGTGGGCTGGTTTGCTATCTTGATACTAAGTGGAAATTAGCAAAAAGTTTTCATTTGGTTAGATCTTCTGTTATTACCCTGAAATATATCCACGATTTGAGGATCTTAGGTTTGCTTGAGTTTGTATTTTAAATGGAGTATTTTGTCAGTGTGGGTCTCTAATGGAAGACTTAGTGCTTTATACTGGCTTCTGATCAGATGACCTGAGAGAATCTTCATGTGTACAGTTTCTATACTGAAAAGTCAAAAATGCAAATGCATAGCCCTCCCTTTAATATATTGTTTGTTTGTGTTTCTGTTTACTCTTAAACTTGATGGTATTGATTTTTTTATGAAATTAGATTTTCTTTCTTTTATGGTTTTTGAATCGTGATAATTAATGAGAATATAAAGCTAGAGTTTTAGGTTTAATTATTGCTGCTCATCAGAGACAAATGCATCTAACTGTGTACCCGTGGAGCCTACTGCCACATCATCCCATTAATGTTGGATGCTCCCTTTTCCATTGCATAGGCTGCATACATGTATTCTGGGGCTAAAACTGGGTTGGTGTTAACTGACATACAGCGAGAGCAGCAGGAGCTCAAGAAACAGGACCAAGAAACCATGGCATTTGAAGGTAAAAATATGAAAGCACAGAGACCAATCTAGTCTCATGTTGCTTTTTTACAAAACATAGCTTATTGTACCTGATATTGTAAACTTCTAATTGCTATCAAATTTCAGCTCTGGTTTTATGCATCATTATAACTTCTTACTAAGTCCCAGTGTTTCTTTCCTTCTTGAAAAATGCCATTTTGGCTGGGCGCAGTGGCCCATGCCTGTAATCCCAGCACTTTGGGAGGCCATGGCGGGTGGATCAGTTGAGGCCAGCAGTTCAAGACCAGCCTGGCTAACATGGTAAAACCCTGTCTCTACTAAAAATACAAAAAAACTAGCTGTACGTGGTGGTGTGTAGCTGTAATCCCACCTATCAGGAGGCTGATACAGGAAAATCGCTTGAACCTGGAAGGCGGAGGTTGCAGTGAGCTGAGATTGCACCACTGCACTCCAACCTGGGCAACAGAGCAAGACTTCGTCTCAAAAAAAAAAAGAAAGAAAAGAAAAATGCCATTTCTTGGGCCCAGCACCAATGTGTACCTAAACGTTAGTAGGGACTACTTTGATCTGGCCGCAAAAGTTCTTATCTAGCATTAGAATCCCAAGCGGTTGATTTGATCTCTTAGAATGTTGTTTTTGATTTTGATTCTGATATTTGAGTATAATTTTCCTTTGCAGCTGAATTTCAATATGCTGAAACTGTATTTCGAGATAAGTCTGGTCGTAAGAGGAATTTGAAACTCGAACGTTTAGAGCAAAGGAGGAAAGCAGAAAAGGACTCAGAGAGAGATGAGCTGTATGCCCAGTGGGGAAAAGGGTAAGGGAACCACTGAAAGGGTAAACAAAATGGCAGTGACTGGAACAAGTCATTTCTCTGCTCTCTGACCACTCACTTTCTTATTATACCTTCAGAGCTATTATCAGTAATGGGAAATTTGGTGTGCTGAATCTTCTTTGTAGGATGTTGATATATTCCACACTTCCAGTGGGTATTCTGGGAATTTTACCCTGTTCAATATTTTGCCTAGGCTACTAGAAAGAGGAAATTCTCCAAATTTAGCAGTGTGGTCCATGTCATGTAGAAATGGAAATGTCATAAAGGGTAGCAAACACTCTTGGTTCGTTTTTGCCCAGGCTTGCCCAGAGCCGGCAACAGCAACAGAATGTGGAGGATGCAATGAAAGAGATGCAAAAGCCTCTGGCCCGCTATATTGATGATGAAGACCTGGATAGGATGCTAAGAGAACAAGAAAGAGAGGGGGACCCCATGGCTAACTTCATTAAGAAGAATAAGGCCAAGGAGAACAAGAATAAGAAAGGTGGGACTTCTGGGAATCATCAGAGTTGGAGGTGACTGTGAAGACTGAGAATCATTAGGGTGCTGATACATAGCTATTTGCAAGGAAGGATTTTCCAAATAATTTAAATTCATTGTGAGTTTTCATTCAACTCAGTTGGTATTTCTATATAAAAATTTTTCCAGGCCAGGCGCAGTGGCTCATGCTTGTAACCCTAGCAAGCACTTTAGGGGGCTGAGGTGGGTGGATCACCTGAGGTCAGGAGTTCAAGACCAGCCTGGTCAACATGGTGAAACCCTGTCTCTACTAAGAATACAAAAAAAAAAAAAAAAATTAGACGGGTGTGGTGGTGCATGCCTGTGGCTAAAACGCGAGAATTGCTTGAACCAGGGAGGCAGAGGTTGCAGTGAGCCGAGATTGTGTCCCTGCACTCCACCCTGGGCAACAGAGTAAGACTCTTTCTCTAAAAAAAAAAAAAAATTCCACATTGCCATCCAGCTCTGAATTAAATTACGTCATTAACTAAATACTTTTTTGTTACTCTTCTCATTAGTGAGACCTCACTACAGTGGTCCAGCACCTCCTCCCAACAGATTTAATATCTGGCCTGGATATCGCTGGGACGGAGTGGACAGGTAAGCCTGAGTATTTCTTACACTTCCGTTTTCTCTTCTACCTGACTGTAACCTTCCCTAACCACTGTAAATTGCTCTACACTTCATTTCATTCTCTGCTTTAATCACAAAGTGAAAAATACACACTTTGCTTGCTTCTATTTCTGAGGTCCACAAATCCTATTTCTCATGCTTAGAACACTCTTCCTTCTGTTTTCATTTCAAAATACTTGTTAAAGCTCTGGACAAACAGTACAGGTGGTTCAGATAAGATACACTTTGTTTTGGATATTGGTTACTTTTAATGTTATTTTCTAAGGCTTAGAGGGGATGAATGGTGAGTTGTAGTCTGGTGCCTTCTATATGATATATTTTTTAAAATGTAGCCTTTGAACCTTTATTCCCTTTATGGTCTTAGGAGGGAGTCACTTTTAATGTCTCACAGTCCTTACCACCTCATCTGTCTACCTACCAGCATCTGTACTCACATACTAACTTCCTGTCTGTTAGATGGATGAGCTATATTTGCTTCCAACCAAAGTCAGTCCCTGTACTCACATATTAGATCCCATCTCCTCCTGCCTACAAAAGAACATTGTTTTAGTATCTAGCACAATAATTCTCAAACTTTTTAACCTCAGGACCCTTTTACACTTTTTTTTTTTGAGACGAAGTCTCACTCCGTCCCCCAGGCTGGAGTACAGTGGCACGATCTCGTCTCACTGCAACCTCCACCTCCCAGGTTCAAGCAATTCTCTGCCTCAGCCTCCTGAGTAGCTGGGATTACAGGTACCTGCCACCATGCCTGGCTAATTTTTGTATTTTTAGTAGAGATGGGGTTTCACCGTGTGGCCAGGCTGGTCTTGAACTCCTGATGTCGTGATTCACCCACCTCAGCCTCCCAGAGTGCTGGGATTACAGGTGTGGGCCACCATGCCTGGCCACTCTTTTTTTTTTGAGCCAGAGTCTTGCTCTGTTGCCCAGGCTGGAGTGCAGTGGTGTGGTCACCTCCTGGGTTCAAGTGATTGTCATGCTTCAGCCACCCAAGTAGTTGGGATTACAGGCGTGCGTCATCATACCCAGCTAATTTTTGTATTTTTAGTGGAGACAGGGTTTTGCCACATTGGCCAGGCTGATCTCAAATTATTGGCCTTGTATGATCTCTTGCCTTGGCTTCCCAAAGTATTGGGAATACAGGCTTGAGCCACCGTGCCCAGCCTACACTTAAAAATTACTGATGACCTCAAAAAGCTTTTGTTTATGTGGATTATATATATTGACATTTACCATATTAGAATTAAAACTCAGACATTTAAAAAGTGTTCATTCTAAAAAGTAACTCATTACTTGTTAACATAATTACTGTATTTTTAAATTAAAAAGAATTATATTTTCCAAATGAAAAAAATAGAAGGGTGGCATTGATTTACATTTTTACAAATCTCATTAATGTCTGACTTAACAGTAGGTAACTTGGTTCTGCATATGTCTGTTGTGGTATGTTGTTCAGTTGCAGTATAGGAAGAAAATTTAGCCTCACACATAGAAAGAGAAGGCATATTATATTTCTCAGTGTTACACAAAATCTCAGCGAGTGCTGGTTTCTTAAAGGTTATGTGGAACCTGAAACCAGATCAAAGAACTTTCATTGCTGTTATATTAATATTTTTTATACTTTGGATCTTTTACCCATACATGATTTTATAACATCATGCCTTGGCCATTTGTAAAATATTGGTTTGCTGAGTTTTTCAGACCTTCCAAATGTTGATGTGTTTCCACTATACGATATCAGAAAATCACTTTTGTTAGCATCACTTCTGGTCTCATCACAAAAGTCTTTAAATAATGGGAGGTTAAAGAGTTCACAGTTTTTCAAAATTCTAATTTACATGTGAAAGTTTAAATATTATCACTGGCAACAAATATTGCCAGTTGTTTTTTCACGTAAAGCTTGCTTTGTACAATAGCTTTTTTGTAGATTGCACCAGAGTTTGTACCCAGAGGGCTAGAGGGTCATTTCATCTTTGCATACAGTTTTATTTCTTACTTTCCAATCTAGATGCTTTTTGTTTCTTTTTCTTGCCCTGGTGCATTAGCTAGCACTTCAGTGCAGATGTTGAATAGAAGTTGTGAGAGTAGATGTCTTTGCTTTATTTCTAATCTCAGGAGGAAAACATTTAGTTTTTTTTCCCTTAAATGTGTGATAAGCTGTAGGTTTTTTTGTAGATACCCTTTATCGAGTTAAAGTTCCCTTCCATTCCTGTTTTGCTGAGAGTTTTGTTTTCAGGAATGTATGTTGGATTTTGTTCAAAATATTTTCTAACTGTCCTTTTGGTTTATTCTTTGCTCCACGGGCTACTTAGGAGTACATTAACGCCAAATATTTGGACTTTTCTAGGTTTCTTCCTGCTGTTTACTTGTAATTTAATTCAATTTTTGTCAGATAATATACTCTGTAATATTTTGATCTTTTGAAACTTGTTGTCCAGGGTTGATGGCTTACTCCGGTAATCCCAACACTTTGGGAGCCCGAGGCAAGTGGATTGCTTGAGTGCAGGAGTTTGAGAACAGCCTGGGCAACATGGCAAAACCCTGTCTCTACAAAAAAAATACAAAAATTAGTTGGGCCTGGTGACACACGTCGGGCATGGTGACACATGAGTAGTCCCAGCTACTCAGGAGGCTGAGGTGGAGGATCACTGAGCCCAGGGAGGTCAAGGCTGCAATGTGCTGTGATTGCACCACTGCACTGCAGCTTGGATGACAGAGTGAGACCCTGTCTCAAAAAACAGCAATAAACATGAAATTTGTTAAGTTGTGTTTTATGGCCCAGTATATTGTCTATCTTCTGAATGTTTCACTTGCACTTGAAGAGAACATATATTCTGTGGCTATTTAAGGTAGTGTTTTATAAATGTCAGTGAGGTCAAGGTGATTAATAGTGTTTAGATCTTAGATTGCCTGTATTCTGGTTTTTTTGTCTTTGTGTTTTTCTCTCAGTTATTGTCAATTGTGGATTTTGTGTTTTAGGTGGTTTATTTTGTTTTTCAACTCCAAAATTTTCATTTAATAGCTTACATTTCTCTGCTGAGATTTCCCATCTGTTCTTTATGAGATATTTTCCTCATCTTGAAAATATTTATGATTTGTAATTGGTGCTTGGAAGTCCTGTCTGCTAATTGCAGCATTATGAGTCACCACAGGATTGGTTTCTATTGACAACTTTTTCTTCAGAGTGTATTATATTTTCCTGTTTATTTACCTGTCTGGTCACTTTTAAAAATTGTTACTAGACATCATAAATGATACACTGTAGAGACTTTGAGTTCTGTTACATTGTGTTCCTCTTAAGTGTGTTGGTTTTTATTCTAGGAGGTAGTTAACTTGGCTAAACTCCAAATTGTCTCCTTTGCAGTGGACCACAGCTAAAATCTCTGCTCAATTCTTTTAGTTTCTAGCTGCCATTCAAAAATTTTTATTAGCTGGTTGGCATTTTCTCTGCACATGTGTTGTTTAACAGCCAAGGATTTGAGTAGAGTTTGTATGCAGAGTTTGAGGTTCATCCCTTTTGTAGTTCCTTCTCTTCCAAAATTTTCCCCCTAATTTCCTAGCTATTCTGCCCACTTTGTACTAACTCCTCAAGCCAGTATGCCTGTGGGTTTCTGCCTTCATGAGCTATGTTGTTTGGGAAGTTGCCCTTCAGGAAAAGGACTCACAGATTCTTTTCACATATACTTCATCCAGTTTATGCTTGCTTTTGGTCACTCTTCCACACCTTCAAATACTTGCATTTTAAAATTTTGTCTAGGCTTTATAATTGCCAATTGAGGATAGGTTAGTCTGCTCAGGTTACTCTGCAATGTGACTTCAGCTCTCTACCTTATATGGGCCTAAGGCATTGTCTTCTGTCCCTCTGGGTGCCATCAAAATCCAGCAGCCAGGTGTGATGGCATGTGTCTGTAGTACCAGCTACTTGGAGGCTGAGGCAGGAAGATCACTTGAAGCCAGGAATTTGAGTCCAAGCTGGGCAACACAGTGAGACCTTATCTGTAGAATTAAAAAAATGTAATGCTCTTCTTTCTGATGTTGGCAGATATGTACAGGATGACTCTAGTTTCTTATATTGGCAGATCTCTTTAGGGTGGCTGTGGTTACAGGCTAGCTTACTAGTTCCATTTGCAATTCACTGTATGTAGGCTTTTTGGTATAAGGAGGATTTTTCAGAATACTAATTTGCCATACATCTTTTTTTTTTTTTTTGAGACGGAGTTTCGCTGTTGTTACCCAGACTGGAGTGCAATGGCATGATCTCGGCTCACTGCAACCTCCGCTTCCTGGGTTCAAGCGATTCTCCTGCCTCAGCCTCCCAAGTAGCTGGGACTACAGGCACGCACCACCACGCCCAGCTAATTTTTGTGTTTTTAGTAGAGATGGGGTTTCACTTTGTTGACCAGGATGGTCTTGATCTCTTGACCTCGTGATCCACCCGCCTCAGCCTCCCAAAGTGCTGGGATTATAGGCGTGAGCCACCGCGCCCGGCCCAGAAGTAGATCTTTTTATAGCACAAGCCTGCAGATGTTCCCTGCTATTGAGTTTTTGTTTTTTTTTGTTTTTTAATTTTTGGACCCAAAACTTAGAATTCTCCCTGACCTAGTTTTTACTAGTGTTTAATTTGTCTTCATTTTTCTCAGTCGCTTTTTTCCACTTCTTGTTCTTATTTTGTCCTAGATTTCTCCTCTTATTTCCCTTTGTCACCTTTGCTGTCTTTCTGTTGTTCATCTTCCATCATCTTTTCTAGTTTTGTCTCTTTTTTGCCCACTGCAAGGGAATATTTCCAGAACAGATATTTAGTATGTTACAGTTGGAAAAACCTGTAAGATAATTACCCAGCTCCTATTAATTAAAAGACAAATGGAGGCCCTATAAATAAGCAGTTTGCCTAGAGTCATGCATCTCCTCTGAGAAAGCTCTGTGTTCCTGATTCTCTGGTCCAAAGCTCTTTCCACTGTGAGTTCTCCTGCAGTTTGTTTTCTGATTCTGCTTAGGATTTGGTGTTTGTTATTCATGTTTTTTGTATTATTATATTCACGTAAATCTCTTAATACCTTCCAAGGTAAAAAACAATGGTTTCCTTGGTGCTTTGGAATACCATCCATGCCTCTAAGGTTGGAGAGGATGTCATTTATAATAAGCTTCTCCTCTTCTTTTTCTTTTTTTCTTTGAGACAGAATTTCGCTCATCACTAAGCTGAAGTGTAGCGGCATGATCTTGGCTCACTGCAACTTCTACCTACTGGGTTCAAGCCATTGTTCTGCCTCAGCCTCCCGAGTAGCTAAGATTACAGGTGTGTGCCATCATGCCCAGCTAATTTTTGTATTTTTAGTAGAGGCAGAGTTTCACCATGTTGGCCAAGCTGGTCTGAAACTCCTGACCTCAGGTGATCTACCCGCCTTGGCCTCCCAAAGTGCTGGGATTACAGGCGTGAGCCATTGCGCCTGGCCAAACTTCCCTTCTTTTCTTTTTTTTTAGATGGAGTCTCACTCTGTTGCCCAGGCTGGAGTGCAGTGGCGCAACCTCAGCTCACTGCAACCTCCGCCTCCCAGGTTCAAGCAATTCTCTGCCTCAGCCTTCTGAATAGCTAGGATTACAGGTGCCCACCACCGTGCCTGGCCACAAAAAAATTAAAAAAAAATTTTTTTTTGTATTTTTAATAGAGACGGGGTTTCACCATTTTGGTCAAGCTGGTCTGGTCTTGAATTCCTGACTTTGTGATCCACCTGCCTCAGCCTCCCAGAGTGCTGGGATTATAGATGTGAGCCACTGTCCCTGGCCACTTTCCTTCTTCTTAAAGCCTCCATTATTCACTCCACTCATCCCTTAAGGGAAAGTCTTAGCACACATGTTATAAGTGTAAGCAGCTAGGTACTAGGTACTAGGGATTCCACAATTAATGAGAGACAGCCCCTGAGCCCAGGAGCTCACTTTCAATCTAGAATAGAAGACAGACAATTTCAGTGCTGTTTGGTTAGTATTACTATAGAAGATTTCAATACGCTTTGGGAACACAAAGGAAGAGTAAGTTGACCCTTGTGAGGATGTGATCAGGGAGTGCTTCCTAATGATTGAAATGGGGGAGCTGAGTTTTAAGGGATGTCAGTAACCAGCCAAGATAAGAAGGAAAGGAAGGATGTTAAAGGAAGAGGATCCTGTAAGTACAGAGTCAACACTATGAGACACCATGGTGTTAGCAGGTGATGGGGGTCCATAACCAGTTTGCTGTTGTTAGATAGCATAAAGTGAGAGATGGATGAGAGAGGTAGGCAGACCCTGATCACAGGAGGCCTTGGAAGCCTTTCTGAGGAGCTTGGTCTTTACCCTAGAGGCAAGGGAGCCATGGAAGGATTAAAAACAGCTCTGTATTTTAGATAGACAAATTATTATAGCAGTAATGTGAAGGATTAGAAAGGTACAAGATTGGAAGTAGAGCAGATACAAGGCTTTTTCAGTAGCTCAGCCTAAAGGTAATGAATATCTAAACTATGACCTTCAGGCAGTGGTAGTAAGGATGGTTAGTAAGAGAACAGGAAGTGGGGATGTGGTTAGGGGTGAGCTGGTGGGACCTGTTTATTGATGTGGGGAGGAAGAAGGAGTCACTGGATTTGACTACAAGGAATGCCATTGACGACCTGAAAGGGCTAGTTCGGTGGTGTAGTGAAACAAAGGCCAGATTCTAATGTATTAAGGAGTGAATGAAAGGTGAGGAAACAAATAGTGAATACAGGCTCTTTCAAGAAGTTTAGATAAGAAGACCAAGAGAATGCATGGTAATTAGAAGGGATTCGAGGTCCCTCACTACCTTCTCGAAATTCACCCTGTATTGTTTTCCATGACACCCTACTCCTGGTTCTTTTCTCTTATAATTCTTGGCCACCTTTGGAAGCTTCTCTTCCTCTGTGTACCTCTTAACTCTTTCCCAGGGCTCTGCCCCCTAACCATTAGCTATTCTATGGACTCCCTCTAGCTGATTCTTACCTAGTCATATTTTCAGCTATGACCTATATGTACATGATTTCCAAATCAGTAATCTTGGTTTGGTATATTTAGCTATGTGTTAGATTTTTCTATTGATATAGACTTGAGAGATTTCAAATGCATTGTATTCAAAGCTGAACTCATCAGGTTCTCTTACTGTAAGCCTGCTCCTACTCTTGTGCTTTCTAACTTACCTCCTCCTCCTTTGTCCTTGTGTACCTAATCCATGAGTCCTACTAATTAGTCTTACTAATTTTGCCTCCTGTGTCTTCTCTCTTCTGCCCCCCCTTCTGGACCACTGCAGTGATTTTCCTGCCCCAGATCCCCTCCAGAGTGATCTGTTTGAAATGCAGCATCAGTTCTTGCTTTAAACCCATCCTTTCTGGATGAAATCTAAGCTTTACATCATGGCCTATAAAGCTCATTATGCGTTGGCCTCTGCCTACCTTTCCAGCTTTGACTCATAGCTATTTCCTTTGTCATACTATGGCTCCAGCCATCCCAGTTGCCTTTGGTTTGTTGCACATACCAGACTACTTCTTATTTCTGTGCCTTTGTTCTTGTTAATCATTCTGTTTGAAATGACCTCCAGACTCTTCTGAACCTCCCCATCCCCAGGACTGTAGTTAACACAAAGCCTTTACTGATCATTCTTGCCCAACCCTCATGTGATCTTTTCATCATACCTTCCTCAAACTGATTAAGATACCCATTCTTTTTCCATGATACCCCATGCGTATTTCTACCAGAGTATATGCGGTTCTTTTATTCGTTTAAATGTCTCTCTCTTCCACTAGTCTGGGAGTTCATCAGGACAAGAGCTGTGTCATACGTATTTTCATGGAGTGCCTACCACAGTACCTAGTATATATCAAAATTCAATAAATGTCTGTGTATTGAATGGATAAAATACAAGATGTGGACATCAGCTGAGAGACAGCTGGGCTTTTAGAGAGTGGCAAATATTTGAAATAGCTGTCAGACTGGGAGAAGGGTCTGAATAAGGACTAAGAAAAAAATGAATGATTTTGTACCTTTGATTCTATTGCATATGCCTTAATTATTTTCATATGACTCCTTACTGTCTTCCCTTCTCATTATATGCGTGAACTCTTCCCTTTCTTATAAAATAAATGTCCATTTAGGGTTCTGGCTGAATAGTATGTCTCTTTTGATTGCAGATCCAATGGATTTGAACAGAAGCGCTTTGCCAGGCTTGCCAGCAAGAAAGCAGTGGAGGAACTTGCCTACAAATGGAGTGTTGAGGATATGTAACTTTCCTGAGGCTATGGGGGTGGCAGGGCTTTGGTAGTGGACATAGGCAGTGAGATATCTAGAGGTAACAGTTATCTGTGCTAATAATTGGAGCCCACACAGACCAGAAACTTCTTGAATGCCAGTTTTGACCACAGAAGAATATTTGAGACCTGATATTTGGACTGAGGTACCTGTTCTTCCTGGGGGTGACAGCACTGGCTGATGCTGGCTTTCAGAAGAAGCATTGATTTCTCAGTGTACCAGGGTTTGTTCTTGGTTAAGGTTTTTCTTTCTTTCTTTTTTTTTTTTTTAAATAAACATACATTTATTTTTTTAAAATTATTTTCCTTACTGGGTATTCTGTTTTGGGAAGAATACAGGCTAATAATGAACCCCTGGGGATTTGGGGGGTGATGGTTGAATTTTTTATTGATCTAGAAAGCAATGTGAGTAAAAATGTCTTAGTGATAGATCCTTCCTCTGAGAAAAGAGGAATTAGTATTAAACTAGATTTAGGAATAGACACGTGGATATTTGGAGACGTAGTGTATGCTAACAGTAGCATCACAAGTTAGTAGGGAAGAGATGGATAATAGTGCTCAGAAAATTGGCTTATTATATGGACAAAAATAAAGTTGAATCCTCATACCATATAAAACAACAATCCCAAAGTGATTAAAGACGTAAATGAAAGATAACGTGATACAGCTAGTAGAAACAAATGGCAAATGTTTTGTGACCTTGGGGTAAAGATAAATTTCTTAAATAAGGTCCCAAAGCACAAGGCATAAGAGTTGATAGCTTTGATTACTTTGTAATTAAAGGTTTCTATATGGCAAAGCATCCCATAGTCAAAGCTAAAGATGGATATGGATTAGGAGAAAATATTTGCAACGTCTAAAACTGACAAGGATTGTATATATAAGGGATAGAATATATAAAGAGCTTCTGGAAATCATGAAGAAAAAGAAAGTGAAATAAAAATATGCAAAAATATGAATAGGGAAAATCTAAAGAGAAAACCAGAGTGGCTCATAAGTATATTACCTCACTAGTAATTAGAGATGCGCTAATTAAAACACTGAGTTTCTACCTTACATCTTAGTTTGCGAAAATAAGCAAGAGACTGATCTGATGGGGAATCAGAACTCACGGAATATTTCTTTTTCTCTTTCTATCTCTCTTTTCTCTTTCTCCTGTTTCTCTTTTCTTTTCTTTTTTTGAGATAGGGTCTCACTCTGTCACTAGGCTGGAGCTCAGTGGTGCCTCCGCTTCCCAGGTTCAAGCAATCCTCCCACCTCAGCCCCCCGAGTAGCCAGGACTACAGGCATGCGCTACACATTTTTTGTGTTTTTAGTAGAGATGGGGTTTCACCATGTTGGCTAGGCTGGTCTTGAACTTCTGACCTCAGGTGATCTGCCTGCCTTGGCTTCCCAAAATGCTGGGATTGCAAGCATGAACCACTGTGCCTGGCTACATGGAATATTTCAGCTGGTGTATTTATTTTGGAGAACAAATGGATGAAACTTACTGAAATTAAGTAATATCAGGGAGCAATATGCAGTTTTTAATAGTGTGGCTCTGGAGCTGTACTTCCTGAATTTGAATCCCAGCTATGTCATTTGCTAGATGTTTGACTTTTGGTAAGCCAGTTAACTCCTTGTGCCTTAGTTTCTTCATCTGTGAAATAGGCCTAATAGTACCTACCTCATAGGTTTATTCTAATCTTAGAACAGTGCCTGGCACACAGTAGTGTCACAAAATTATTAGCTGTTATTATCACTGTAATCATCATCATCAAGTGGGGCAGCCAGCTTTCAAGATGGGCCCCAATGATCCCTGCCCTCTGGTATATAAACCCTTGTATAGTCCTCTCCCACAATAAATAAGGTTGACCTGTGTGACCATTTCTAATACTAAGATGTATTAGAAATGTGTGACTTATGAAGATAGGTCATAAATGGCATTGAAACATCTGCCTTGTGCTATCTTGGATCCTTGCTCTGGAAGATTCCGGCTTCCACATTGTGAGGCTCAAGCAGCCCTCCGGAGAGGCTCAGGTGGAGAGGCACTGAGGCCTGTCACCAACAGCCAGCACCAAATTGCTGACTGTAGGAGTAACTCACCTTGGAAGTGGATCTGCCAGCTGTACTCAGGCCTTCGGGGCTTGCAGCCCTGATCAACAACCTTGTGAGAGATCCTGACCCAGAACACCCAGCTCCAGATTCTTGAACCAAAGAAACTCTGAGATAATAAATGTTTAGTATTTTGTAAAAACAGCTTTATTGAGATACAATTTGCATACTACACAGTTCACCCACGTAAGGTGTATGATGTAGTGGTTTGTAGTATATCACAGAGTTGTACAGCCATCACAATTTTAAAACATTTTTATCATCTTGTGGATACAAGAAACCTTGTACCCATTAGTGGTCACTCCTCACTTTCCCCTAACTTCTCCAGCTTTAGGCAAATGCTAGTCTACTTTCTGTCTCTGTAGTGTGCCTGTTCTGGACTTTCATACACTAATAAGATATAAATGGGGCTATTATATACTGTTTGGCCTTTTGTGTCTGGCTTTTTGTGCTTAGCGTAATGTTTTCAAGGTTCATCCATGTTGTAGCATGCATCAGCACTTCATTCTTTTTATGGCTGAATAATATTCCCTTGTGCAGATATACCACATTTCTGCATCATTTGGTGGACATTCAAGTTGTTTCCACCTCTGGGGTATTATGAGTAATGCTTCTATAGACAATTCATGTATGAGTTTTTGTATGGATGTATATTTTCCTTTCTCTTGGTTATATTCCTAGGAGTGGAATTGCTGGGTCATATGTAACTCCATGTTTAACTTTTTGCGGAACTGCCAAACTTATTCCAAAGGAATGTATGCGTGTTCCAATTTCTCCACATGCTAACACTTATTTTTTTTTTAATTGCATTTTAGGTTTTGGCTTACTAACACTTACTATTTGTCTTTTTGATTATAGCCATCCTAGTGGGTAGGAGATGGTATATCTCTTTAAGGTTTTGATTTGCATTTTTCTGCTGGCTAGTGATGTTGAGCATCTTTATGTATCTTTTGAAGAAATCTTTATTCAAATATTTTGCCCTTTTTTCATTTGGGTTATTGGTTATATATACACATACACAAGCACACTCTTATGTAAAGAGTTTTGATTATAAATCCTTTGCTAGATATACGATTTGTAAATAGTTTCCTCATTGTGTGAGTTGTTATTGTTTTAAGCTGCTAAAGCATTTAGGGAAGGTAATTTGCGCTTAGGATAGGTAAGCAACAGCAGTTACAGTTATAACCATAACAGTTGTTATAGAGCAAAAGATAACTAATACTTTAAATGTATACATACTTCAAAGTGGTTCCACTCCAGACTATCCTTCAGAGAAATCTGCATAAGTCCTTGAGGAGTAGATAAATACAAGGATGTTTTTCTGTGTATAGTTTGGATGGCAAGAATTTGGAAACAACTTAGGTGTCCATCACTAAGGAAATTGATAAGTGAAATGTGGTATATACATATAATGGAGTATTTTTTAAGTCAAATGCAAGCTGTTAGGAATTTAGTAAAACGATAGACTCCAAGTGAAAAAAGTAAGTGAAATTTACAGCAAAAATCAGCTATACAAAGTAAACACACAAAGTGACGTTATTTTGTAAGGAGGATAAATACCTTAATCAGTAGAATAGGGTTTGTGGGAGGGAATAGAATGAGACTAGAATGGAGAATGAAGACAGGAAAGGGAAGCAGAGAGGGCTTTGCATGGATGAAAGTGATAGTGTGTCATGAACTCAGGCCTATGAGCAACTCAGTTCTGTGCACCTGAAGCCCTAAGTGCAGCTCCAGAGGCAAGGTCTTGTTTCATGGAACTGACATTTAGTACCCATATTAGGGTAGACTAAACTGCTAAAGCAGACTGCAAGTAGACGGTCCCCCACTCACTCATGTAACATCCAGGTCATTTCAGGTTGAGAAAATAGGAGTGGGACACTGTATGTAGTTGTTTAGGGATTAGGCTGATGCCAACTTCACTATGGCTTCCAAGGTTAATGCCAACTTCACTATGGCTTCCAAGGTTAATGCCAACTTCACTATGGCTTCCAAGGTTAATGCCAACTTCACTATGGCTTCCAAGGCTAATGCCAACTTCACTATGGCTTCCAAGGTTGCATTGGGCATTGCCATTTTAGTGAGTTGAGCAGAACTTGAAGGATTGCTTGGCAGATGTTACGGGCCAGTTCTAGAAGTAGTACACACTTCTCATATTCTGTTGCTAAGAACCTAGTTGCAAGGCTCCCTCTTAAGGCAAAGGAGCCTGAGGAATATAACATGCATCAGGAAGAAGGGATAAATGGATGTCGTTGGACACATGTTATCTTTGCCACATTATGCACTTCTCAGATTCCTGAAGAAAGGCTGTCCATCCCCCAGCCATTTAAGAAATATATAGATTTTGAAATAGTTTTGAGACCTGAAAATCCCAAAGGGATTCCATTTTCTAAATGGAGAGTATCAGCTGGGGTCACTACCAAGTTAGGGATGTCTCTTCCCTAATTCTGGCCAGTGATTGTCAAAGAAGGGCTTAGGTAGGAAGATGAAAGGTAAACTGGAATTGTGTCTAGAGTCAGCATTTATGAGATGGAAGTACTTCTAAATAAATTTTATTTAAATAGATAGAATTTTATTAAATATTTATATTAAATTATATGTAATTTATTAATTAGTATTTATAATATAAATTTTATATTAAAATATGTTATATTAAAATTTCATATTTATATAAAATTTTATTAAATATATTAACTTATATTTAATTTATTATAGTATTTATAATATATAAATTTTATATTAAAATTTAATTTAATTTTATATTAAAATTTCATATTTATATAATATAAATTTTATTAAATACTTACATTATATTTAATGTATTAAAATAATTATTTATATTAAATATAGCATTAAAATTTATTAAATAAATAAAGTTTATTTTTACAGTTCAAGTCTTGCTCTGCTGCCTAGGTTGGAGTGCTACAGCATGCTCATTGCAGCCTCAAACTTGCGGGCTGAGTGATGCTACCGTCTCACCTTCCCAAGGTGGCAGAGGAGGCATGCAACTCCTAGCCTATTGTCACACCCCTTCTGCACAGCTAGGTTTTGTTTCCATATGGGTTTGGGTTTTAACTTCATTTGGCTCTACACTGTTTCTTAGGAACACCTCACCCTAAGAGGCTCAGAGGCTTTAGAAATCTGAAATCACTTTTTTTCCCTTAACAAAGAAATGCATTATTTACATTTAAGCAGAGACTGAGGTGTAGG